CATCAGGGCTGCGTAGAGAGAGATGGGTTAGGGACAAGAGTAAGATTAGCAGGGACATTGTAGTGGACACTTGTTGCTCAGCAAATATCCATTTTCTCTTCTTCACAGCCCCTGACCTCTTTCCCGCTGGGTCCAGGTTGGTGCATCTACAGTCCATTACCCCGACCTTTCCAGCCACGCGCACGCACAGCCCAGGCTGGGCTGACCAGATGCTTCCTCCGTGGACAGGAATGTTGAGCAAAGGGTCAAAGACGCTAACACTGTTGCTGTTGTATCCCATCCACCCAGGCTGTTTTGCTCTGGGAGCGTCATGTCCCTGCCTTGGCTTTTGGCTTTTCCCAAGTCCTTTTCTCTGGCTTGTAGTCAGTTCCATGAGCTCCTGACGATGTCTTCTCACTAAAGCCCCTTTTTGCCTGGAACCCTAACTGTCCGAGCCGGCACTAGTGTGTTTGGGGGCAGGGCTCCCCGCGAGCTGGGAGACCATAGGATGGGCGTCAGAGACACCTGCCAGTGTGGCGCGTGGCACGGGGCCGTACTCCAATTTGGAAGAAGACATGGAGGGAAGGCAGGGCCAGCCCGAAACCGAGGTTTCCCAGCGGAATGGATAAGGACAGCGAGGGCTGCCACTGTGAGCCAGGAACCCTGGACGTGACTTTGCACATCGAGAAGTCAAATCTGTACTTTCTTGGGTTTATCCATTATTTTATTTTTATGTTTGCTTTAAAAAAAAAAGTGCTGGGACACCTGGATGACCCAGTCAGTTTAGCGTCCAACGTCAGCTCAAGTTGTAATCTTGCGGTTTGTGAGTTCGAGCCCTGTGTCAAGAGTTCTGTGGTGACAGCTCAGAGCCTGGAGCCTGCTTTGGATTCTGTGTCTGCCCTACCCCACCCATGCTCCGGATCTCTCTCTCTTTCAAAAATAAACATTAAAAAAAATTTTTTTTAAGTGCTTCAGTAAAGTTCTTTGGACTGTTCCACCTGCCCTTGGGGAATGAGAGGGAAGAGAGGTCTGTGTGTTCGGAGGCCAGCACACCTGGACACGCCATCCGGGAGCGCTGCGGGGCCTTGCATACAAGACGAGGGCAGCGTGTCCGAAAGCTTACGTGGCGGGGCGGCGCTAGCAGGTGGCCTGAACTGGGTGGGAAGGGGCAGGTCACAAAAAACAGAGAAGAGGTGATTTTGAGCGGTCCTTCCTTGCACAGTCTGAGCAAAGGCTGAGTCCAGGGGAGAAGCGCTGGGAACACAGAGGGGCAGAGTCACCGGGATGTGACCCCATGGAACACATGTACGTAGCTGTCGTGTGTGTGACTAATAGAGCCGTAGGTACAAGGATGGAGGAAAGAGGGAAGCATGGATTTTGACAACTTCGAAAATCAGCTCCTGAAAGCACGGGGGCAGAAAGTAACAGCCTGGTCCCTGGTTAGGAAGAGGAAGATCATAAACCGAGTGTAGTTGGTTACTCGCTGTGAAAATACCTCAGGAATTGTTCATTTTTGTTGGCTGTGTCATGTTCCTGTAGGTACATTAGTGGAAGTCTGTCTAATGATATTGTATGCTTTAAAGTCTGCCTTTAAAATACTCCAGGAAGGGGCGCCTGGGTGACTTAGTCCCCTAAGTGTCTGACTTCAGCTCAGGTCACGATCTCACAGTTCGTGGGTTCGAGCCCCGCGTCCGGCTCTGTGCTGACAGCTTGGAGCCTGGAGCCTGTTTCAGGTTCTGTGTCTCCCTCTCTTTCTGCCCCTCCCCCACTCATGCTCTGTCTCTGTCTCAAAAATAAATAAACATTAAAAAAATTTTAATACTCCAGCAAAGAAACAAGCAGGAAGTTGGTGACAATAAGTGAAGCAAGCCTCTGGGCCTTCGTTCCCTAACTGGAAGCATCAGCCAAAAACCCAGGAAGTCACCGCAGACCCCTCTCTGTCAGGCTGGTTTCCAAGCCCTGCCCATCCTGAAAATCTCTCGTTTCCTCCCGAAACTGCCTTTGTTTAGCTCTTATCAGATCTTGTCTGAAATACTGCCGTATTTTCACTTGTTTACTTGCCCCTCACCTTGCTGCCCTTGGGCCGTCTTCCTCAGTAAAGTCGAGGTCATGGATGGAAGCAGGAGACGGGCCCGGGAGGTGGGCACACCACCAGGCCTGCAGGTGACGGCGCAGCAGGCGTACAGGCGTGCAGGGTCACACGGCCGGCACAGAAATCCATGTCCGCCCGAGTGTGAGGCCCGTGCTGCCCGCTGGCGAGGTGGTCTGTAAAGTCATTCTAGGCAGAAGGACCCAGGCTGCCAGCAATTTAATAAGTACCCATGAATTTGGGACGCCACATACTTTCCATACAGCCCATTATTCAGGTAGCTCGCTTGATACTCCAAGCAGGTGCAGATATGTAGAAAAGACAGAAGTCCCACTTGTTCTTGTCATAAACGGATCCAGTCTTTTGGAGGAGCAGCCTAGACACACGTGAGGCTCTAAACAATTTATATTCTTTTATTTGGTAATCCTGCCTTTGAGACTAATCGTAATATAGATGCGTGTCCAAAGCCAAGGCACGATTCCCATTCCGCCATCGAGACCTTCTCTTCCATGTTGGCTGAAGGCAGTTTATGAATCCTTAGGTTTTCACTCAATCCCGCGGTGCTGTTCATGCTTTCAGAACACATCCGTACCTGCTTCTCGCCACCCTGGACACCCCTGGTTCTGGCTTTCAGCTTCTTGTGCCTGTGTTACTCCAGTAACCATTTTTGCCATATATGTATATCTTTTTTCTTAAGATTTTATTTTTAAGTAATCTCTACACCCAACATGGGTCTAGAACCCGAGATCAAAAGTCCATGCTCTACTGACAGAACCGGCCAGCAAAGCCCCTTTGCCTGCTTATATTTGATTTATTTTCAACATGGCAGCTAGTTGGATTCTTTAATATATAAACCATATTTATTTTTTTCTCTGCATAAAACTTTCTAGTCTTCTCCTTCTCATTTGGAGGACAAACTTCAAGTCTTGTAGCAGCCAGTGTAGCTTCAGGGCACTCACCTTTGGCCTCTTCTGCCGTCCTCCCCTTCATTCAGCCACTGCGGAAGCATAGGCCTCCTTGTGTCCAAGTCAGGCCAGGCCCAGGCCTGCACCAGGACCTTTGCACTTGCTGTCCCCTCTGTCTGAAATTCTTCCCTAGATCACCATGTGGCTTGCTCCCTCAGCTCCCTCAGGTTCCTGCTCAGACATTATCAGTGAAAGCTCCCCTGAACAACTGAAGTGTAAAATTGGAACACTCATTGCCTTCCCACACTCGTCCCAGCCTGGTATCTCGGAGGAGAGATTTAGGGGAGTGGACATCTTTTGGCAAATGGTTCCACTTCTCATGGTAATCTTATGGTCAGAAACAGGCTCAAGGACATTGCTTGAATGAGTGTCTTTATACTTTGGTTAAGCAGTGCTCCCTGTAGGTGGCCTTGCCCAAGCCGGTACCCCCCCCCTCCCCCGTCCCAGGGTCTTCAGTCTGAGCTCACCTGTGCAGCGGCCGGTGTCGGGAAGGCACCCTCAGTCACCATAGTCACCATCAGCTATGTCAGCTCAGATAACGTGGGTCTGGATCGCCAGCTTCTCTCACTTTCTCTCTCTCTCTCTCTCTCTCTCTCTCTCTCATGTTTATGTATTTATTTTGAGAGAGAGAGAGCATGCATGCAAGCGAGAGCAAGTGGAAGAGGGGCCCAGAGAGAGAATCCCATGCAGGCTCTGTGCTGTGAGATCGTGACCTGAGCTGAAATCAGGAGTCGGATGCTTAACTGACCCAGGCGCCCCAAGAAACTGATTTTTAATAGTTTTACTATGAATTTAAATTTAATTTTAAACAACCCACATGCCTAGTGGCTCCTGTTTTGGGCACAGGCCCCACAGCACCTGTGAGTGTGCGGCAGGAAGCATGGTTAGAAATACCTAGCACAGCAGGTTCGGTAGCAGGAACTGGAATTATGGTATAGTCACACGATGGGAAATAATTACAGTAACAGCGAGCATTCATTTGCTGAGTGCTTTCTTTAAGCCAGGCAGTGTCCTAAGCACTTGACCGGCCAGATCTCCCTGGACTCTCGCTGAACATAGTAGTGGAAAGAAATAAACCATAGCTGCATCCGCCAGCAGGGGTGAATGAGTCCTAGATGCACATGGCCAAGGGGGACAGCAAGTCACAAAAGCCACCTACCGTGAGATAGCATTTTTCAAACCTCAAAAACAAGCAGTATGAAGCACCATTCACGGTATACAGATATATAGCAAAGCCGTGAAAAAGCAAGAGAATTCAGGCTACGATCCCTTTTGTGGCGAGGAGATGCCCCAGTGAGGCCAGCTCGGTCGCCTCCTGACCCTTGCATGTTGTCACTGTTGTCCTGTCTGTAGCCGCCCTGGGGTGAGCAGGCAGCACTCGCGTGGACCTGTTAGGATGGCATTTTGCGGCAACACCAAAGTTAGTAAATGGGTCTGGTTTCGGTCCGCAGTTAAGCCCGTGTTCCGTCACAAGAGGGCTTGGTTGCCTCGGTCGGGTTCCCTAAGATTAGAAACCATTGTTATTTACCCAAACCCTTTGCTCCAAATGTTTGTTTTTTTGTTTCATCACGTCTCATACTGAGTTGAATGTTACCAAAATCGAGCCACAAGAACTTAGTTTGAAAATGAAAAATCTGAAAACTGTAAAATAACAAATAGCGTACTGATGAACCGTTATCACGAAAGTGTTCGTTAAAGGAAGAGTCCAAACGACACCTGAGGGCGTTACGAATCTTTATGAATCTGTAGGTCAGTGTAATTTCAAAATTACGTAGTGGTCTGCGGTAAGTTGCGTTCAGAGATGGTCTGCTGCCGCACGCCCAATTTTGCTGTAGCAGGTCGACGAGCTGATTGAATTTTGTCAAGCTTTTCTGTGTAATAAGTGCATCTTTTGACTTTTTTCCTTATTGTTCCGTCTTTATTCTTTCCTGCATTACTGACATGGGTTTATCTTTTCTCCCCTTTAGAGAGTTTTGAGGTGACAGTCACCAAAGAAGGTGATAAAGGGTTCTTTCTATCCCTCTTACGAATATTAACCCACTAACTTTGTCTATAAAATTGGGAATCAGACCTTAAGCAGAAGAAACTGTCATGCTCTTTTACCTTGATTTATTCTCCTTCTTTGTTTCTATTTTTAAATATATTGATGGAAATTGTATGTAACCAAACCCCTGGTTAGAAATATCTAGAAATCAGACATCCATTTGAACTGGACGGATAACACTGTACATTTGTTTCTTAATTGAACTTAAGAGATTCACTTCATAACCATTTTCTAGGAGTTGTAATTTTGGAAGAGTGCAGCCTTATTTTTACGTGAAATACATTTTTTTTGGAAGATATATATATATACATATATATACACACACACACATACATCAAAACACTTGATGTTTGTTCTCCCACAGGCAAGAATGGAAACCTAGATTGTCACCCCTCATTAAGCTTGTGAGCCACCTTCAGTGCACTGATGCCCCCAGGCAGGCTTCTTTTTCAGGTCTGAGAGGCTAGCTTGGGAAACGGAGGCAAGTCTAGCAGATCCCTCCCGGTGATGGAAGCGATCTTAATAGTAAACAAATAGCTGTTGAAATGGATGCCTGAAAAGTTGGTATTTCTACCTTTCTCATTCAGTAGTTTGTTTTGATTCCCTAATTTTAGCCAGGCTCATTGCACAGGAAGACTTGTTTCTTTTGACCTTTTTATTTTGTTTTGTTTTGGACAGAATTTCTGTAATTATGGTGCTGAACCTTTATGTCCCCCCCCTTCCTCTCTCGACACTGAACTGCATTTTAGCCTTCTCTCTGGTCCAAATCAAAATCGCTGCCCAGCTGTCCCCAGTGGCCGGGGACAGTTTCTCCACGTTATCAGGCCATGGCTGTTTGCGAATGAGACTACTTTGTCCCTGGAGCTATCTTAAGTTCTCCTGTGAAATGCCTGTCTATATTTTCTCTTTTTCTCTTTTGTATTCCTGCATGAATGGATGCAAAGTTAAGCAAGTTGCTTGGAAAGCCAGACCTGCTTCTTTTTACTAAAGCCCCAGAACTTATCCCTGTCCGAGCACAGCGCCCTTGCTTTGTCCACAGACCCTCTCAACCCCTGGCTGCCAAACTGTTGTCGTTTCTTTTCTTTTTTGGGGGGGAAGGGGCGTGGGGAGGGGGAGCGTGCAGACTCTGGGCGGCCGAGACTCTAACCTGCGCTGCTTTGACTCCCTAGGTGAGATTTGTGGATTTAAAATTCATGGGCAGAATGTCCCCTTTGACGCAGTGGTAGTGGACAAGTCCACTGGCGAGGGCGTAATTCGCTCAAAAGAGAAACTGGACTGTGAGCTGCAGAAAGACTACACGTTCAGCATCCAGGCCTATGACTGCGGCCAGGGGCCCGACGGCGCCAACGCGAAAAAGTCTCATAAGTGAGTAAGCCGATCAGAGAGCGCGTGTGCAGAGAACGCGGTCCTGACCGCTGCTTTCTTTGTGTCCCCGAGACTCTCTGTGTTCTTAAAGATGAGACAGAAGATATTTCTGGCTGTCCACTGTGAAATTGTAAGCTCCCGGAGGGCAGGAACCCTGTCTGTTTACCCTGCAGCATTAGTTGTTGAATAAATAAATGAGTCATATTATCCCCAGTGCTCTCATGAAAGAAACTAAAGCCCTACGCTGAAAACTGGGGAAGCCCACTTTTCCCCAAGGAGGATATTTTGCTGTCAGGTTTCTGTTAACTCAAAGGATGCAGAAGTCGTTCATGCTGGTGGGAGTGGGCTGACTTTGGCGCCCCATCCGGGCCGTGTTCACATCCATATCCTTTGAGAACTGCTCGTGGAACAGACAGGACTCTGAACAAGACCTAGATTTAGAATTCCAGTCTTTTCTCTGCCACTTACCGTCCCTTCGGCACGGGGCAAATTTTGTCTTGCCGAGTCTCAGTTTCCGCTTAGCTCCTGGGCTGGGTGGGGGGGCGGGGGGCGGCGCACGACACCACGAGACCCATCAGGAGGGTGCAGGAGTTGGGCGTGGAGGGTCTTGGTGCACCCTGGGGTGCTGAGCGCCAGCAAGCAGCAACTCGTCCTTTTCACGCCGGCTGATAGGACTGTTGTCCTTGAAAAGGTCTGTATCAGTCAGCGATCTTGTCCGAGTCAGAACCACTCCCTGATCAATAGCCCTCAGCCTGACGTTACCTCTCTTTGTAGCCAAGTCCACGGGGCCTTAGTTTCATCAAGCGCAAGCGGGGGAGGTGGAATGTGGCAGCACGGGGTCTGCCGGGGAAGGAGCGTTGAGGTCACTAGGAGGTCCTTCGTTTGTTGGATCACTTAGTGGGTGACGGGCAACAGTGAGTTGCTTGCGGTCTCCATTCCTTAGAAGCGGGGCAGGACCGGCTTCCATGCTCCTAATCAGACTCCCCGCCCGTGTTTCCATCTTCTGTCTCTGTCTTACTCTTTCTTCCTTTGGGTCTAATTTTGTCTTACCTAGTTTCTCTCTTCTGCATGCCTGTCCCATATTGTCAAGAAAACCCCAGGTCTCTTATTTTACTGCCTTTCTTCTTTTCTTTTCTTTTTTTTTTTTTTACCAGCCATCTTACTCCTAGGACCTAGAAGAATCAACTTAAATCCCTATTTTAACTTTCTCAAGTCATCTCCATGCTAAAATAAAAACCGTGAGGGGGGGCTGGGTGGCTCAGTCAGTTGAGCGCCCGACTTCAGCTCAGGTCATGATCTCACGGTTTGCAGGTTCGAGCCCTGCGTCGGGCTCCGTGCTGAGAGCCTGGAACCTGGAACCTGCTTCAGATTCTGTGTCTCCCTCTCTCTCTGTCCCTCCCCTCCTCACGCTGTCTCTTTCTCTCTCTCAGAAGTAAAACAATAAAAAAATTTTTTAAATAAAAACTGTGACTAGTTTAATTTTTGTCTCCATCTTATGAACTTTGTGAAATAAGATATTAGCAAAAAGAAATGTAAAAACAGGGCAGAATTGCTGTACTTTGGGGGAAGAAACAAACCAAACACGGCTTTTTTGTTCTTCTTCCAGAGCAACTGTCCACATTCAGGTGAACGATGTGAATGAATACGCACCCGTGTTCAGGGAGAAGTCCTACAAAGCCACGGTCACTGAGGGCAAGCAGCATGACAGCATCCTGAGGGTGGAGGCCGTGGACGCCGACTGCTCCCCCCAGTTCAGCCAGATTTGCAGCTATGAAATCGTCACTCCAGATGTGCCATTCGCTGTCGACAAAGATGGTGAGTCAGAGGGGTGGGCCTTCCTCAGCAGGGTGACGGTCCGTGGCCAGGCCTGCCCACTGGCGGGACTCCGATCGGAGACCAGCTGCGTCTGTCTCTTCGAGTAGCAGTACCATGAGCTGGGCGCGCAGGCAGCAGACTGACCGCTCTGCTCTGCAGGCGGGGAGACCAGGATCGAGGTGCTGGCAGGTTCAGTGTCTGCTGAGGACCCGAGTCCCGGTTCCCAGGCGGCCCTCTTATCTCTGTGTCCTCGCACGGCGGGGAGAGAGCCCTCGGGGATCCCAGTCTGGGGGCCCCACACTCACGACTGCATCCAGACCTAAGTTCCTCCCCCAGGTGCCACCTCCCAACACCATCACACTGGGGGCTAGGACTTCAGCGTTCAGACTTGGGGGCACAAGCATTCATAGCAGAGACCTAATGGTGTCTGGTCCGCTCTTGTGTTTTTTTTTAACTCTGTCCCCTGAAAGCCTTTTTGCTAGCACCTGAAGTCGTGTGCTCTTTTGTTGGGTGCCCTTCTTTTTCCCTCTTCCACCAAGGTCTAATAAAACCCCCCACCTGACATGTTTTTAATCTGTACCTTCCCACTTTTCCATCAAGTGCATCTGAAAAGACTGACCTTTAGTTGGTCTGTTCTCCACTAGATTTGGATCTTCGGCCTCATCTTGAAGATGAAGGGTTCTGCCTTTAGTGCCAGATCCTCCTGTCCTTGGTAACTGAGCAGGATGAACTCGTGCTAGAGCTTCCTGTTAGGTTTCGGCTTCTTGATAGTGATGCAGTGTCTCTGTTGTTAATGCACAGTCCAGAATCTCTGATGAAATTATGGACATTGTACACACTTTGCAGACATCTGTTCCCATTTCAGAAGCAGGCTCCTGTTCTAGTAGATGGGGTTGGGAATCTCTCTCTCTGTCTCTGTCTCTCTCTGTCTCTGTCTCTCTCTCTCTCTCTCTCTCTCTCTCTCTCTCACACACACATACACGGTAAATCTTTTAGCAAGAAATATTTAATGCAGCTTGCTTTAGTATTTAGTATTTGAAGTGCTTGAATTACTTTGTCTTCTTTATTCTCTTATATGTTAACTACTTAATCTTAAAGCAAATATAAAACCAAAGAAGAAGAGCTGTGAGAATAAACAGAGGTTGAAGTGTGTAGACTTATTCCTTCTGTCTCAGCAGCCCTTCAAGACACATTTAGTGTAAATTCAAGCTCAGGAAAGCCAGACCGAGCGTTGATTATCTCAAGAATATGTTTGATTTCCATGTCTGTGTTTATAACAGAGCACGTGTACTTTTTTTTAATTAAAAAAATACATGTTTTAAATGTTTTATATATTCTTGAGAGAGAGCAAGCATGAGTGGGTGAGGGGCAGAGCAAGAGCGGGAGATAGAACCTGAAGCAGGTTCCAGGCCCAGCTGTCAGCACAGAGCCTGACACGGGGCTCGAACTCACAAGCTGTGAGATCATGACCTGAGCCAAAGTCAGTTACTTAACCAACTGAGCCACCCAGGTGCCCCTAAAAAAATACTTTAACATTTATTTATTTTTGAGAGAGAGAGAGAGAGAGACTGTGAGCTGGCGAAGCGGCAGACAGGGAGGGAGACACAGAATCTGAAGCAGACTCCAGGCTCTGAGCTGTCATCCCAGAGCCTGACATGGGGCTCGAACTCGTGAACCTCGAGATAGGACCTGAGCAGAAATCAGACGCTTAATCGACTGAGCCCCCCAGGTGCCCCAGAGCACGTGTACTTTGTATTTTAGCACAGCTTTGCCTTCTCACTGTTGTTTTTCCTTCTCTGGAAGGTTATATAAAAAACACGGAAAAGCTAAACTATGGGAAGGAACAGCAGTACAAGCTGACCGTCACCGCCTACGACTGCGGGAAGAGAAGGGCAGCGGAAGATGTCTTGGTGAAGGTCAGCGTCAAGCCCGCCTGCAGCCCCGGCTGGCAAGGTGAGCTTCATTCTCCTTTCTGCCCTCACACCTGTCCTGATGCGTCACGTACCAGGGGCCCTAACGTGTGAGTCCTCCTCCTTCCCCACCCCCGGCTCTGCGGGCCGACACAGGATGGAGCAAGAGAATCGAGTACGAGCCTGGCTCGGGCCCTCTGGCCCTCCTCCCAGACGCCCACCTGGAGACGTGCGGGGAGCCCGTGGCCTCGGTGCAGGCGATGGTAGAGCTGGAGACCGGCCACATCGGGAAAGGCTGTGACCGTGACACCTACTCTGAGCAATCTCTTCACCGGCTGTGCGGTAAGGGGCCTTGCTTGATGGCCTTCAGTGAGGGCAAGAGACACCCTTTCAGATGGAAGAATGAAGGAGGCGGGGTGGGGGGGGGGGTGTTCATAACCCTAAACAGAACAGACTGTGGCTTTCTGGCATGGTCGTTATAGCCTTACTGGCTACCTGTCACGCTGGGTGGGCTTCAGGAGGTACATAAACCCCCTAAAGCCCGTTCAGAATGCTACCTGTGTGGGCATTTTAGGAACCTGTGATGCGAAGAAAGTATTTCTCTGACGTACATTGAGGATAATCAAGAGAGAGGGATTAATTATGTAAGTGGAGTGAGTTTGAAATGAGATGTTTATCTAAGGACTGAAGAAAAAAATACAGGTAAAGCAATAGCATTTGGCAAACGTGAAGTAGAAAGCGAAAACTAAGGGCCCTCCTATCTAATTCCGAGGCTCAGCGGACTCTGTTTACCATAAACATTACGTGAAATCCAGAGACCCCGTGGTGACGAATCCTATCGAAGCCTCGCCCTCTGTCTTCACCAACAGTTGTGGGTGTTTCTCTGGTCTGTCTAATGAAGTAGAGGGAGGTATGGATGCCTGTCGTGGAAAATGCCGAGGAAGAGTGGCTCACTTGGCCAGTGAAGAGGTACCCGTAGCTTCCACGAGCTCTCCGTGGTCAGAGGGTGTGCTGCGCCTCAGGAGCTACTCTGTCACTTCTGCAGATGGCGCTTTGCTGTGTCCCCTGTCTTTCCACCGGCCTCATTACAGCCTGTAGGTTTAAGCAACTGGATTTCTTACATAACGGGAATACGCGAAAGCGAAAAAGCTCATCCTCTGCTGGCTTATCCTAATGGTTAATGTTCGCCAGTGTTGCCTGACTCTGGGTCCAAATATTCACATGCTGAAATCTACCTGGAAGGTGGAAGAACCAGGACGTATTTTAAACTGTATATATTTAAGTGTAATGTTTAAAATGTATTTTCTCTCTCCAGGGCCATTATCTTTTATGGTATTAAGTGAACATTTTCTCAGCAGAACAGTTTACAGTTAGGGAGGAAGAGTGGAAAGAATTTCCTCTCTTTCCCTGCACGCTCTGCACTTGTGTGTGTGTTTCCTTCGTTCCGTGTGCCCATCAGGCCTACAGAGGAGGTGGTGGTGACCTCGTGTTTACTGAGGAATTCAGTTGGGAGTAGAGGGGGATACCTTCTCACTTTTAGGAAGGAAGCGGCAGGCACTGACTGTCATTTGACCGAGGTCGTATGTGAGGTCATGCTGCTCCTAGGAGCAGAGGACCAGGTGACCGGGAGAGCTCGCAGAGTGTTCCCCCGTGTGGGCACATTTAATAGAAGAATGAGCTCGGCCGTATGTAACAACTGCTGGAAATTTTTTCCATGTTTCTTCGTTAACTGACTCCATTTCTAGGAATTTACGCTAAGGGAATAATCGTGGAGTCACATGGAAGTCCTCGTGAAGCCAGGGTTTGTCATAGAAAAGAGTGGGGACAGTCTCAGGATTGTTCGAGATTCACCAGGGAGATCAGTTAAATAAGTCACAGTGTTTCTGTGCAGTGAAGTGCTGAGACATTTTCAAAATCTGCTATGGAAGAATATTAATGGGAATGTATGTACATATATACATCGTAGGAATCTATTTTTTATAATATGTGTATATTCGTAGAGAAAAGACTGGAAGTGTTTGCACCCAGATGTTAATAGTGGATATATTTCGGGGTGGTGCCTGAGTGCCTTGGTCGGTTGAACATCCTACTCTTGATAGCAGATCGGGTCTCGATCTCAAGGTTGTGAGTTCAGTTCCCATTTTGGGCTTCAAACTCTGTGTGAAGCCAATTTGAAAATGAATTTAAAAAAATTTTTGTTAATGTTTGTTTATTTTTGAGAAAGAGAGAGACAGAGTGTGAGCAGGTGAGGGGTAGAGAGAGAGGGAGACACAGAATCTGAAGCAGGCTTCAGGCTCTGAGCTGTCAGCACAGAGCTGGACTCGGGGCTTGAACTCATGAACCATGAGAGATCACACCCTGAGCTGAAGTCAGACGCTTAACTGACTGAGCCACCCAGGCGGCTCCCCCCCAGTTTTTTAAAAATAGTGGATGTATTTATTTGAGTGGGATTATAAGTAATGCTTTCTTCCTTTTATTCTTTTTTTAAAGTGGGTTTTTTTGTTTTTTTTTTTTGAGGCAGAGAGAGAGAATGAGAGGGGGATGGGCAGAGAGAGGAGAGAGGATTCCAAGCAGGCTCAGTGCTGTCCGTGCAGAGCCCGATGCGGGGCTCAGTCTTATGAACCGTGGGATCATGACCTGAACTGAAATCAGGAGCTGGACAATCAACCAACTGAGCCGCCCAGGCACCCCCTTTTTTTAAAAAAAATACCCCCAGTTATTATTTATGGTTTTTTTAAAAAATAAAAGCCTTTGTTTTTGAGCAACGTAAGCGGGAGCTAGCAGATTGTGTAACTAGAAGATAAGGGTGTTGCCTCAGCGTGGCCTCGAAACTCCCACCTCCCAAGTCCTTCGCGCCATGTGTATTGAGTGTTTTCGTGTCGGCTTAGGCGCTGCGTCTGGCACCACCGAGCTGCTCCCGTCCCCGAGTGGATCCTTGAACTGGACTGTTGGCCTCCCCACCGACAACGGCCAAGACAGTGACCAGGTCTTCGAGTTCAATGGCACCCAAGCAGTGAGGATCCCAGATGGTGTCGTTTCCGTCAACCCGAAAGAACCTTTTACGATTTCTGTGTGGATGCGGCACGGGCCTTTCGGCAGGAAGAAGGAGACGATCCTTTGTAGCTCAGACAAAACAGGTGGGTTACTTTGGCAGTCAGGGCGGCATACTTGGGTGGCCGCCACAGTGGTCGCTGGAGGCGAGGCCCCTTATTCTTGCCCAAAAGAGGCTCCCGTAGGCTGGCTGGTGACACACATCCTGAGTTCTGTGCCCAAGCGCAGTGTCCTCCAGATGCTGTACTGGTGTTTGGTGGCTCGTTTTACTCCGTGAATTGGGCCCCACATCTCAGGAAAACCCAAGTGTGCGTGTTTCTAAACCCTGCCTCCGCCCCACTGGAGAGTTCATTTATGCTGATCACCGATAAGTGTTAAACCCGTGTCTTCAGAATCCATGAAGGAAATAGCTTCCACTTCTCTTTTGGGTCTTAAGTTGGCAATTCACTGGTAGGAATTCTCTTGGCAGACATGAACCGGCACCATTATTCACTCTACGTCCACGGCTGCCGCCTTACTTTCCTCCTCCGCCAGGATCCTTCCGAAGAGAAGAAATACAAACCTGCAGAATTCCACTGGAAGTTGAATCAGGTGAGTGCCTGGAGAACTCATTGATTTACGACCTTTCAGAGCATATAACTAGGTATTGCAGCTTTATACAGGACCAGCTGTGTATGGGCAGGGTATGTTTATATTTGTGAATAAATAGAAAAATAGAAGAAAGTTTTGCAATGTATGTAGACGCTTTCGGCACAAATCTGTTATAGTAACTATAGTCTAATTTACATCTTTAGCTTCTTCTGATGACATTTAAAAACCACCTTATATTACTGGTGGGTTATAGGATAGCAGATTAAATCCTTTGAATTCCTTTCAACTGAAAGCCTAAGGTTTTCATTTTATAAGTGTGTATTTTACACACCCAGTATTAATGTAAAGAAATTACATGCTTTAAATTCAAAACACTGTGTTGTAATTTATTGAAATTTGCAGCACTTGCTTAAAAATTGGGATTGAGATCCTTGTATTTGTTTATTCATTATTTAAAGCCTTGCCTCCGAAATTGTGCCAAGGAGCCCCCGGGGTGCTCTGGCAGATTTAAGGGTGCCACGGGACATTTTAGATTGTCACAGAGCCAGCAATCTTGACATCTTTCAGAAACCACACAAGCTACTAGCTTGCGGGAGTTTACAGTGTCACCGTTAGGTCACGTTATATCCCTTTTGATGATAGTATATCTTTGCAAAGCTGCTTTCCCAACAGTTTCTGTGATAAAAAGCAAGTATCACGTGAAAAAAAATTGATGCGTTTCAGGAAACAAGGGGGCGCTGTAAACTGAGGAAGCCTTTCCTTTAAAATCACAGCAGGTGTTTCTTTTCTTTTTTTATATTAGAAAGCAAGAGAGTGTGCGCACAAGGGGCGAAGAGAGAGGGATAGAATCTTTTTTTTTTTTTTTTTAATTCAAGTTAGTTAACATGCAGTATAATAATGGTCTCAGGAGTAGGATTTAGTGATTCATCACTTATATATGACACCCAGCGCTCATCCCAACAGGGGGCCTCCGTAATGCCCATCCCCTGTTTAGCCCATTCTAACACCCACCTCCCCTCCAGCAAACCCTCAGTTTGTTCTCTGTGTTTAAGAGTCTCTTATGGTTTGCCTCCCTCTCTGTTTTTATCTTTTTCCTGCCCTTCCCCTGTGTTCATCTGTCTTGTTCCTTAACAAATATTCCTTCGCTCCAAATATGAGTGAAATCCTATATTTGTCTTTCTCTGACTTCTTTCACATAGCATATACACTCTGGTTCCATCCACATTGATGCAGATGGCAAGATTTCATTCTTTTTGATTGCCGAGTAATACTCCATTGTATATGTATACACCACATCTTCTTTATCCATTCATCAGTTGATAGATATATGGGCTGTCTCCATAATTTGCCTATTGTTGGTAGTGCTGCTATAAATATTGGAGTGCATGTGTACCTTTGAATCAGCGTTTTTGTATCCTTTGGATAAATACCTGGTAGTGCAATTGCTGGGTCATAGGGTAATTTTGTTTTTAATTTTTTTTTTTAATATTTTTTATTTATTTCTAGGAGAGAGAGAGAGACAGCGTGAGCAGGGGAGGGTCAGAGAGAGAGGGAGATACAGACTCTGAAATTGGCTCCAGGCTCTGAGCTGGCAGTCAGCACAGAGCCCGACACGGGGCTCGAACCCACGAACCGCGAGATCATGACCTAAGCGAAAGTCGGACGCTCAACCGACTAAGCCACCCAGGCGTCCCTGTTTTTAATTTTTTAATGTTTATTTATTATTGAGACAGAAACAAAGCATGAGTGGGGGAGGGGCAGAGAGAGAGGGAGACACAGAATCCGAAGCAGGCTCCAGGTTCTGAGCTGTCAGCACAGAGCCCAACATGGGGCTCAAACTCACGAACCACGAGATCATAACCTGAGCTGAAGTTGGACGCTTAACTGACTTGGGGACACCCAGGTACCCCTTGAGATCCTTGATTTCTGCTCTTATCTTTATTATTTCCCTTCTTCTGCTGGTCTTGGGCTTTACTTAGTGGCTATTCTTTTCCCAACTCCTTTAGGTGTAAGTTTAGGATATATATTTGAGACATTTCTTCTTTATTAGGAAGGCCTGAATTATGACATACTTCTCTCTTAAGACTGCCTTTGCTGCATCCCAGAGGTTTTAGACTCTTGTGTTTCATTTTCATTGGCTTCCATATACTTTTAAGTTCTTCTTTAATTTCCTGGTTAATCCATTCATTCTTAAGTAGGATATTCTTCAACCTCCAACTATTTGCAGTTGGTTTGCAAAGTTTTTCTTGTGGTTGATTTCAAGATTCATAGTGTTGTGGTCTGAAAATATGCATGTTATGATCTTGATCTTTTTACACTTGTTGAGGTTTGATTTGTGACCCAATATGTGATCTGGTCTGGAGAATGTCCCATGTGCACTTGAGAAGAGTGTGTATTCTGCTGCTTTAGAATGAAATGTTCTGAATATATTGGTTAAGTCCATTTGGTCTAGTGTGTCATTCAAGGCTGTTGTTTCCTTGATCTTCTGCTTAGGTGATCTGTCTGTTGCTGTAAGTGGGGTATTAAGTTCTTATTGTTAGGTCTTGTTGGTGGATAGACCCCTTAATTATTTTTTTTTAATTTTTTTAATGCTTTATTTCTGAGAGAGAGAGAGAGAGCGTGAGCAGGGGAGGGGCAGAGAGAGAGGGAGACACAGAATCTGAAGCAGCCTCCAGGTTCTGAGCTAACTGTCAGCACAGAGCCCGACACGGGGCTCGAACCCACAAACCATGAGACCATGACCCGAGCCAAAGTCGGATGCTTAACCGACTGAGCCACCCAGGTGCCCCTAGACCCCCTTAATTATGATATAATGATCTTCTTTCGTTACAGTCTTTGTTTTAAAGCTTAATTTGTCTGGGGGTGCCTGGGTGGCTCAGTCAGTTAAGCGTCTGATTTCAGCTCAGGTCATAATCTCACAGTCCACACAGTCAGTGGGTTCAAGCCCTGCTGACAGCCCAGAACCTGGAGCCTGCTTCAGGTTCTGTGTCTCCCTCCCTCTCTCTCTCTCTCTTTCTGTCTCTCTCTCTCTCTCTGACCCTTCCCCACTCGCTCTTGCTCTCTCAAATAAACATTAAGAAAAAAAGACTTACAAGAACAGAAAATTTCTCTGTCCATTGTCTTCTGACATAAGACGTTGCATTGAAGTCTGATGACAGTCTGATCTTCTTTCCCTTATAAGATACTTGGTTCTTTTGTTTAGGTGACCAAAGGGTGTGTTTCTTTTCTTTTTTAAAGCCAATTAATTTTATGTACGTGTTTTGATTGTTTGGGCTATGTTTTCCCAGATATGTGGTGTGACCTTTCTTAGTATATAGGTTAAAGCAGCTTGGTATTTCAGGAAACTTTTTGGCACTACAGTTCTTAACCCTCCCTCATCACTGCTTTGCTTTTCTTCTCTGGGGACCCTTTGCCTTTGGTTGGCATCCTTTATCTACGTTTTCTGTCACTTTCTATCCAAGTCATTCCTGATTCGTCAGCTCTCATCTGAGTTGCTCCGGTCCTGATCAACATACTTCCGTGTTTTGTGTCACCTTCCTGACATCTTCCAGCGTGTTCTCAGACAACACATGATCATTTTCATGTGTGTCGCAGGAGTGTCTTTCCATCAGTTTGCTTTGTTTCTCTTGAAAAGTTCATATGGGATTAAATTGTGATCCTTTATCCTTCTCCTCATTTTCACGTACAGTTACTTTTCCTGCACTTTCTTTTTTTTTTTTTTTTAAGATTTTATTTATTTTTGAGAGAGAGAGAGAGACATCATGAGCAGGGAGGGTCAGAAAGAGGGAGACACAGAATCTGAAGCAGCTCCAGGCTCTGAGCTGTCAGCACAGAACCTGACGCGGGGCTTGAACTTGTGAACTGCGAGATCATGACCTGAGCTGAAGTCGGACGCTTAACCAACTGAGCCACCCAGGCGCCCCACTTTTCCTGCACTTTCCAAGGAGAGAGTTGGCTAGCACGATCCTTTTTCTAGTGTTAGGGCTCTGCCTCCCTCTTCTGTTACCGTCGTAAAGCTTCTCAACAGGTAAGTACCGCCTCACCGCCCTCTGATATCCCCTGGATCAGAAGCCCCAGTGCTCTTCTCCACCTGCGTGCGCCTTACGGTGCACACGGGCACCGGACTGAGCAGTGCCGTGCGTGCCGTCTGCAGCTTTGGGCTGTGCCCCTCCTGATCACCCAGTTTTCCAGGAAATTAGAAAATTATGCCAGTTGTGCCACTGTCTTGTCTGTGCTCTCAGGGACTTTTGACAAAAGCCAAATGGACTTTCAAATGCAGTGTTATTCTGCTAATCGCCCGGAAACCTGCCATACTTTAAGAGCTAGGTGTAATATAAATCGCTTTCTGAAGGAGCTTATATTACAGAACTTGTCTTAAATAGAGAAGCTAAAATTAAGCTATTATCAGCCTCGCAGGTGATTTGCCTGCCGTGCAGTTCCTTCATTTAAAAAGGTTTCATGTAATATATAAACGTACGCATACACTGTGCATATGTAACAGGCATGTGCAGAGTGTTAGAGGCTTGGATTTTTTTCTGTATAAACTCATTCAGGAGCAGCTGCTATTCTCTGGGGGATATTCTTTGGTAATTTCTTCATTTGTTGTGATATATCTGGTTTGTTTAACTTTCATTGGTTCAGGTTTTTAGAAAGTGTAAATTGGTCAAGCTTATTTAGAAATACATTTTTAAAAATATGGGGAGCCTAGGTGGCTCAGTCAGTTGAGCGTCCAAATTTGGCTCGGGTCATGATCTCAAGGTTCTTGAGTTCGAGTCCTGCATCGGGCTCTGTACTGACAGCTCAGAGCCTGGAGCCTGTTTCAGATTCCTCCCTCTCTCTCTCTCTCTCTTTCTGTCTCTCTCTCTCCCTCTCTCCCCCCCCCCCATTTGTGCATGTGTGTATTCTCTCTCTCTCAAAAATGAATAAACATTAAAATTTTTTTTAAGAAATAAAAACATTCTCCCATTCCGTCTCTTTCTCTGCCTGTCTCTGGTCTCAAGTACCTGCCTCTTCCTCTGAAGCCAAAGATCAGAGAGTGCCAGACCCAAAGGATTTGGAGGCTGTTGATAGCACTTTCCTTTGGCACAGGGGTGGGGAGGGATGTTCATTCATGATGGGGAAGGAATACAGTTTAATTTATCATGTCCTCTGAGCTGTATGCTCACGTTTATTTACATCATCACCTTTCAGTTAAAAAAGGAAATACATGAGCTACAGCATGGCTTATTCTGAAATGGGAGGTGGTTTTCATTTGGATCTGGAAAAGGCATGGATCTTGATGGGCTAAGCCCGCTCCGTGGGAGGCTGTCCAGCTTCTGGATACAAGAATCTCCTGGTGTCACTGCTAGGAATTTACCCAAGGGACACAGGAGTGCTGATGCACAGGGGCACATGTACCCCAATGTTCATAGCAGCACTCTCCACAATAGCTAAAACATGGAAAGAGACTAAGTGTCCATCATCGGACGAATGGATCAAAAAGATGTGGTTTATCTATACCATGGAATACTACATGGCAATGGGAAAGAATGAAATCTGGCCACGTGTAGCAACATGGATGGACCTTGAGGGTGTTATGCTGAGCGAAATAAGTCAGGCAGAGAAAGACAAATATCATATGTTTGCACGTATAGGAGGATTAGGAGGAACTTAACGGAGGACCATGGGGGAGAAGAAGGGGGGAAATAGTGGGGGAGGGGGAGGGAGGCAAACCATGAGAGACTCTTGAATGCTGAGAACAAACTGAGGACTGATGGGGGTGGGGAGGAGGCGGTGATGGGCATGGAGGAGGGCACTTGTGGGGATGAGCACTGGGTGTTCTATGGAAACCGACTTGACAATAAACTATTTGTAAAAAACAATAATAAATATTTTTAAATGTTCAAAAAAAAAAAAAAAGAATCTCCTGGTGTCAGTCTGTTGGCAGAAGAGAACCGGGCCCTGTCACGTGAGCAGTGGGCACCTCCCGCTGGTCTGGAATGTCCTGGACGGGATAGTGGTGCCTTGGCCCTTTTAGGTGGGATGTGGTTGAGTGAGATGTACGTTGTTGTTAGAGTTTTAAGAAATCCTTTTCCTTTTTCGGAAGACATTAGTCCTTACGGGCGACTTGCTCTCCGTACCCAGTTGTTTTGCTTTCATGGTCTCTGGACGTGCGGGAAGGGAGACCCCTCATGCTCTGGTTTCTCCCCCGACCTCTCTCAGGTCTGTGATGAGGAGTGGCATCACTACGTCCTCAATGTGGAATTCCCAAGCGTGACTCTCTACGTGGACGGTGTTTCTCACGAGCCCTTCTCTGTGACCGAAGATTACCCGCTTCATCCATCCAAGATTGAAACTCAGCTCGTGGTCGGGGCTTGCTGGCAAGGTAATGGACGGTCCTTGGCACCCTCTCCCCGGCGTCGGGGATTCAGCCCTGCTGCCTCGTGGCCTTGGTGGTGGAGGCAGGCTCGTCCCAGTGTTCTGCCCGCATTGCCTTCATCTCTTCGTCCCTTCTCCTGGGCGTGGCTGTTCTGGGAACACTGCCGATGCCATACTCCGGGGGTGTCACTTACGGTTCATTCTAGGACTGCAGCAGCCGGCACCCTCCCCGGGAACCCGGGAGGAAGCATCACACAGAAGGAGAGGGCGAGTGAGGGAGTGGTATAAGTTAGTCTGTTCGTCGAAAAGTTCACAAAGACAAAGGGGCCACAGCTGACCATCAGGCACGAAACTGGGAATATACTTTGAGCCAGAGGACCCTTCCAGAGTGTTCAGTGCTGGATAAGCTGGGCCTGTGGGCTTCCGCAGGGCTGTGCTGAAAGGGACTCCATGAGAGGTGGGATGGGGTAGGACAGCAATACCATTTATTCGTACTTTCTAACCGGCGGGCCACGTGCCCATTACTTTCCATAGTGGTAAGTCTGTGGGGAAGGAACAGTTTTTATCCCCATTTTATAGCCAAAGAAACTGAGGCTCAGAGCCCAGGGTCACCCCACCTGGTTAATCGTGGCATCTGGATTTGAAACCATAAAGCTGGTGCATTTAGGGCCTGTGGTCTGATATGGACCCTTCCCAGGATAATTTCTTATTAATCTGTGAAATACAGCACATAGGATTTCTGAGGCAGCCAATTCGATTGGAAGAGAGTCATCATGGCACCAAAAGGCAAATCTTTTGAAATGGGCAAATCTTTTGAAATACCTGGGCTGCTTTATTGACAGATGGAGAGAAAGCTCTAGCAGCCAGCTCAGCGACTGCTGGGATTTGAAAGCAGTGATGGGCTTTGTGATGTCTGCAGCAGCACAGCATGCTGGGAAAATGGCCATGACACTAATGCCTCTGTGTTTTGTAGCCGACATTTAGACCCAGAGCAAAAGCTAAACTTCACAAGTTAGTGGCAGTAGCACAGAATTTTTCCTGTCCAAGGTCACGGACCTCTCAGTCTGCCCTCACGTGAACCCGCACACTTGGCTGGGCCACCATCGCTGCTAAACAGACCTTGTGCATGTTTTTTCTCCCTATGGGAACATTGCACCCTTGAGGTCGGTGAGAAAGATAATAAAATAGCCCAGTGCCCACGACAGCATTGCTTTAATTTTAGAGACTTTGAATTTCATCATTTTCTCGAAATCCTTGCAAATTAACAAGATTAAGATAGCATTTTAGAGTGAACTTCTTCGGCTAATTCTAGGTTTAATTTCAGGGACGGTTCATCCATGAGAAGGTAGAATTTGAGACCAAGGAATGAGAAACAAATTATCAGGGAAATAGGAATTTTTTAGTTGCTGGGTCTTAACAGCTCAGTCTAGAGCTGCTTCCTAAATTAAACAATAATTTGAGTTGTTTTAAAATAAGAATAAAAAGGAGCGCCTGGGTGGCTTAGTCGGTTAAGCGTCCGACTTTCGCTTAGGTCATGATCTCGCGGTTCGTGGGTTCGAGCCCCGCATCGGGTTCTGTGCTGACTGCCAGCTTAGAGCCTGGAGCCTGTTTCAGAGTCTGTGTCTCCCTCTCTCTCTGACCCTCCCCTGTTCTCGCTGTCTCTCTCTATCCTAGAAATAAAATAAAATAAAAAATATTAAAAAAATAAAATAAAGTAAGAATAAAAATATAAGTGCAAACCTGAGAGCTTTGCTGCTTGGGTTAAAATAAAGCCCCGTGTTCTGTGATGACTCCTGGCTCCTGTCGGTGCCACTGCGTCTTTCTACCGGAGCTTCTCAACGTCCTCCGCCAGAAAAACACACCTAAGTTCCCGAACCAGACACGGGGTTTATAAGATGTCGCCAACCCGGAGGAAGGTCTCCTCCTTCCTTCAGCGGATAAGGAAACACAGTCTGTACAAGTTCACGGTGGAGAGCGCGTGCTGTGGGCAGCAGCCTCACCCACATCGGCTGAAATAAATGTCGCTCCTCTTTTTTATTTATTTATTTATTTTTTCCTTCTTCTTCTTCTTAACATTTACTCATTTTTGAGAGACAGAGAACCAGCAGGGCTGGGGCAGAGAGGGAGGGAGACACAGAATCCGAAGCAGCTCCAGGCTCCAGGCTGTCAGCGGGGCTGAAACTCATGAACCATGAGATCATGACCTGAGCCGAAGTTAGACACTTAACCAACTGAGCCACCCAGGCGCCCCTGAAATGTCATTCCTGATGGTGTTCTGGAGGCACCTGGGGACATTGTGGGAGCGCAGCCGCATGCGCCTGGCCGGCCCCAAGTGCCCCCTGCTGCCGCAGCACAGGGCGAGCTGTGGGCTGTGGAGTGCTCCCGCGACGTGATCTGGAAAGTGGAGATTCTGTGCTCAGTCCCTGGGTGTGTCCTCCCTGGCCTGACGTTGCTGTCAGGACACCGGCCCGGGGCCGGATAGAGGGTCAGTGGTTAGAAGCCTCAGGTCCACTGCTGCTTATCTGTTAATCTGGGTGAGTTTCTTAACCTCTGACTCTCCCTTCCTGGTCAGAAAGAGTGGGTAAAAACATGGTCATTTCTCTGTCACTTAAAGGTTAACGTCTACACCAACGTGAACTCATTCTGAGCTTTCAAAAGCTACATGCTTTTACATGTTTACCATGCGCATACCAGGCTTTGGATGCTTATTCGTGCTGTCCCAGTTCGTCTGTACGGACGTCCTCCCTGTGGGACAAGAGCGCGCGGGCCCGGGGCTCGGCATCGCTGGGCCCGGCACGTCGCTGCCCCACCCAGTAGCAGCAGCTGGAGATTGTGAGTTCAGTGGACGAGCTGCTGTTCACCTGATTTTGAATTCGGCCCGTGATTAGGCAAGGTGCACGTGGACGACGGGATGAGGGAGGAACGACGAGAGGCAGGGGGCGGGGGGCTTCCGAAAAGGTGATCGATCCCCTACGACTTGCTTCTGGGGGGGGGGGGAGGGGAGATGTCCCCGAGAGGGACAAAGTGAGAGTTCTTCCCTGTGTGTTTTTTATTTGGCAGCTTTTCGAGACTGATTTTCAAATTCCAATGTGAAGAGCCTAACCTCTCGGCCCTTTTCTATTGTCTTTGTCTTGCTTTCCTACAGAGTATCCAGCATTTGAAAATGACAATGAAACCGAGCCTGTGCCTATGGCCTCTGCAGGTTGCTGGATCTTTCCCTACGGTTCACTCTTGTGTTTCATTTAAAGACATCAATTCATTCCACGTTTCGCATGAAATGCCCAAGTTGCATTTTGGTCCCAGACACCTTTTGAGCTGCTGCTTTGCATTATGCGTTCCCCGCCCCACTTCACGGGATTCACCCTTTTCTGCCAGTTCTGACTGCAGTTGAAGTGAGGATAAACGACTCATTAGACTCATTAATGCTCCGCACTGATGGGACCCCCTCCCCCCCATGGGACCCCCTCCCCCCAAAATTTTACCCTGAATCCACCACAGGCGGCTCCCTGCTGAAATCTCACCAGCCGCATCAGGGAGGCCACCGCCCAGTTCCCATGCGGCTGAACCATGAGACAGGAAGAGACTCATTTCTAGATACTCTGTTCTGACCGATACTAGATTTTAAACATAGGTTTCTTAGAAATCTCTGTCCCTGGTGTTGGCTCAGTGTCTAAAGTCCTATCAGGAACGAGACATGCTCTCACCATCAGTCATTGGTCTCCTTAATCATTTTGTGAGAATAAGCTGCTTTTTTTTTCTGTTTGTTTTTTGTTTATTCATTTTGAGAGGGGGGTAGGCATGCACACAAGCGACAAGGGGCAGAGAGAGGGGGAGAGAGAGAATCCCAGGCAGGCTCCAGGCAGCCAGCACAAAGCCCGGTGCGTGGGACTCAGTCCCACAGCCCTGGGATCAGACTGACCGAGCCACCCAGGTGCCCCGAGAACCAGCTTCTTTTCACCTGCTTTTTGGCTCTCGGCTACGGTCTGACGAGGACCACTTTCTGGGTTTCTGTTTTCTAGAACACCCTCAGTTGCCAGCTGTCCTGGGGACAGGCCGAGTGGGGCTCAGCCAGGTAGCGTAGGAGGCCTCTTAGGTGCGGGCAGGGGTAGTGGGTAGTAAGCACCCTTTTCTCTCTCTAGTCCTGTGCCTCTGGGGCCGGCCCCGAGTTTGTATGTAACCCCAGCTGTGCTCAGTTAGAGAAAACCACCCAGAGCGTGGCCCAGCTGATTGAGAGGGCAGCGAGTGGTCCACAGGGCTGTGGGAAATGTCACCCGTGCACCAGGCTGACGGTGCAGCGTAGGCCACCTTTTCCAGGGAGTGGCCGGTTGTGTGGGGACACTCGTGGGACCTCTTGGCTTCGGGTGAGGGACCCCCACACCTCTTTTCTCCAGGCCATGTGCATGATCATAAACGACTTAATTTCTCCATTGCGCTTCCATATAGATTGCAAGGCTAACAGGATGTGGTACGAACTAACCCGCATGTCCCTCCATCAAGCCGCCGCCACCGGTAACACTGCATTGAGAGGTGAAGCAGGAGGGCCCGCGCCACACGCGTAACTGCCTGCTTTGTTCCCCTGCGTCCCTCAGGCGGCGACCTGCACATGACCCAGTTTTTCCGGGGTAACCTGGCTGGCCTGACCGTCCGTTCTGGGAAACTCGCGGACAAGAAGGTGATTGACTGTCTGTACACCTGCAAGGAGGGGCTGGACCTGCAGCTTCCTGAGGACGGCGGGGGCGTGAAGGTAACGCGGGCGCCCGCCCCCCCGCACGGCGCTCGCTGCTTCTTGGGGCCTGAGGGTGCGGGCTGTTGGCAGAGGCTCGATCTATGATCGCTCTGGACCTGCTTTTACTCACAACACCTGACAGCAGACACACTGGGGCTGGCCCACTGACCGGTCCCCAGCTCTCCCGGCGCCTGCAGGGTCCCACAGTTCAGTTCACTTCCGACACTGACTCCCTGGAGTTAGCGTGGCCCCCGCCCCCCGGGGGAGGCTCAGGCCCGCGAGGCTGCCCCCCCCTGCAGAGGCCAGTGGGGGTGTCAGGCCCTTGGATTACTCACACTTCTCTCCAACTTGGCTACAAAGTTGGGGGTCCCCATAATCCCCCCTTCCTTTCAGTTTCAGTAATTTCCTTAAGCTACTCAGAAAGCACTTAGCACCGCTGGTTTATTATAAAGACCGCAGCCCAGGAACAACGGGATGGAGTTGTGCAGCCGGCAGGTGAGGAGGGAGAGGAGGGAGCTGCCCACCCTCTCCGGGAGCGCCTCCCTGCACACACTGGAAGCTCCCAAACCCGGGCCTTGCGGGGTGTTTACGGAGCTCCTGTTACATCAGGCACAGCCGGTTGAATCACTGACCAGAGATCGGGGCTGGGTGTGAACGTGCCGGCCCTGTTCACATGGCTGTCCCTGTGGCAGCTGGCTCCGTCCTGAAACCCTCAGCCCCCCGGAGTCTGCCTGGTGACACAGACGCTGGTGTGCCTGGAAAGGGCTTAGTACGAGTAACTAAAGGTGCTCGTACTCGGGAAATGTCCAGGATTTTAGAGGCTCTGTGCCAGAAACTGGGGACAGAGACCAAAGACAGGTATTTCTTTCTTTTTTTTTTAAAAGATTTTATTTATTTATTTTAGTTTATTTATTTTAGCACACACACGAACAGGGGAGGGGCAGAGAGAGAGAAAGAGAGAATCCCAAGCAGGCTCTGAGCTGTCAGCACAGAGCCCAGTGCAGGGCTCGAACTCACTAACTGCGAGATCATGACCTGAACTGAAATCAAGAGCCAGATACTTAACTGACTGAGCTACCCAGGAGCCCCAAAGATTTTTTTTTTTAATGTTTGTTTATTTTTGAGACAGAGCACAAGTGGGGGAAGGGCAGAGAGAGAGGGAGGCACAGAATCTGAAACCAGCTCCAGGCTCCATGCTGTCAGCACAGAGCCCAATGCAGGGCTCAAACCCACGGACTGTGAGATCGTGACCTGAGCCGAAGACAAAAGCTTAACCGACTGAGCCACTCAGGCGCCCCAGATTTAATTTTTTTTAAGTAATCTCTATAGCCACCATGGGGTTCAAACTCACAGCCCCAAGATCAAGAGTTGCACGTTTCACCAGCGAAGCCAGCCAGGCGCCCTATATCTCTTACACCACAGATAGGTTTGCTCCGTGGGGATTTACCCTTGAAGAAGAGGGTCTCATCACTGCCAATTCTGTGTCCCTTTCCCCTCCAGGTCACTGATTGAGATCGATCCCCAAGCAAACCCTCTTTGCCAGAGGCTTTGTGCTTTCGGCTTCTTGCAACTAGAGCCCCTTTTCTCACCTTTCTCTGGTATGATTTCAGATCCATACCAACCCCAGTCAGTTGGCGTTGACCTTGGAGGGAGACGATGTTGGGGAGCTGGATAAAGCCATGCAGCACGTCGCCTACCTGAACTCACGGCAGTTCCCCACACCTGGGATCCGAAGACTCAAAATCACCACCACAGTCAAGTAGGTGCTGATTTCTAACTATCAACCTGCCTTTGCCTGTGACTCTTGAGAAGAAAATGTGTATATTTAGGTTTTTAAGACAGTCCAGCCTCCTGTCTGTAAAGACTGGTGGGCCATCGCTTGTTCCCAGAGGGTTTGACGGCGTTTACCAGTGTGGTGGAGGCCCGTTCCCAGAGGGCCACAGCCTCTGCCCCCAGGGCCTGGGGAATCCTGCCTGTTGCACCCTCCATGTGCCATTGTGGGTAGCCTGCAAGACCGCTTCTCGAAACTCTGACCCTTGCCTTCTCCGTCCCTTGGCAGGTGTTTTAATGAGGCCGCCTGCATCTCAGTGCCCCCGGTGGACGGTTACGTGATGGTGCTGCAGCCGGAGGAGCCGAAGGTCAGCCTGAGTGGGGTCCACCATTTTGCTCGTGCGGCTTCGGAATTCGAAAGCCCAGAAGGGGTTTTCCTTTTCCCTGAGCTTCGGATCATCAGCACCATCACGAGAGAAGTGGAGCCCGAAGGGGAAGGGGACGAGGACCCCACAGGTAACAGCTCTCCTGCCTGGGATAGTCACCCTCACTCTGGCTCGAACCCAGGGTGGGTGGGGGGGTGAAACCCCACTGCTGCTGCTTTCTTACTGGCTTCTTTTTTTCTGGGAGTTTGAGAGATTTGGATGTCTTCATGCTATTCTTGGGTCGGCTTCTGGAATCTGACCCCTGGACGAGAGCTCATTATGCTCTTTGGTATCTGTGCTGCTGAAGAGAGCACCCATTATGCTCTTTGGAAACCCACCCGGAGAGCCCTCGCCTCATCTTGCAGTGTGATGTCCGCATCTGAGATGCCCTTGGGGAGGCTGGGAGGGTTCGGGCCAGTTGCAGGGCCCGCTGCCGCTCCTGCTGAGTGGGCAGGGGCCTGTCGGGGTGCCAGTCCTCCCAGACACATAAAGCACCCCGACTCTTGAAAGGGACTCTCCTGGGCCTCTGTCATTGATTTTTCAAAGGGCTTGTGAGCTCAAGGAGAGCTAGCAGGCCACCGGGTGCGGCCACCCCCCCGGCCCACGGCCTCTACTATCCGGGGTTACTGTGTCCTTGCAGTTCAAGAGTCGCTCGTGTCCGAGGAGATCGTGCATGACCTGGACACCTGAGAAGTCACGGTGGATGGGGAGGACCTGAACCCGGCCCAGGAGAGCCTGGAGGTGGACACGGCCCGCCTGCAGCAGAAGGGCATCGCAGTGAGCGGCTCTGACCTGGGCATGGTCTTCACGGGTGAGTGTGGGTCACGGCGCCGCCTCCTGTCTCCGAGCTCTGGGGGTTCTGGAGGCAGCGGGGAAGGAGAGGCTCACCGGGATCCGTGGGGGCTGCACGTGCTGTCCCAGCAGGAAGGGAAGTGGGGCACACGATGGCACGCGCCCCAGAGAGGGACAGATGTGCCTGCGCACTTGCGTTTCTCCCCCACAGCTGGAAAGCCGCAGTGCGCGCATGTGTGGTCCCGCCGCCCCTGTGCCTGACCCCAGCTTGCCCTGACCCTGGTCTTGCCTGCAGCCACCAGGCAGTCTTCTCACCTTCTCCCCGCAGGTGTGGACACCATGGCCAACTATGAGGAGGTTCTTCGCCTCCTCCGCTATCGGAACTGGCACACCAGGTCCCTGCTTGACCGGAAGTTCAAGCTCGTCTGCTCAGAGCTCAATGGTCGCTACGTCAGCAACGAGTTTCAGGTGGAGGTGCGTGCAGGGCCCACGCTGAGAGGGGCCAGTGGTGGGTGATTGGGTGCCCGTGTATGGCCCCAATGCTTGCAAACACCATTTTTTGCAGCGTTCGTGCGGGCCACGGCCTTGGCGCACCAGCCTTTCCCTGCCTGGGGGCTGCCTCAGGTCCCGCCCGCGCAGGTTTGGGTGGGCAGGGGTGCATCTGGCATGCCCATCATGGAGGCCTGAGGGGCCTTTGGAAGGAGATGGTCAAGAGCTAGAGGCAGTTAATACCTTGTGACTAGGGCCACAGCGGTTTGTTGAGATTTGACACTGTTTTACAAAGAGCAGTTCCCAGGGACCCAAAGATTCTTTGTGGACTGCAGGCCCAGGGGGAGGGGCACTGTGCTGTCTGCAGACCCTGGTCGCGGTGACTCAGGGCATGGTGGTCAGAGGGTGCTCCCCCCAGCTCTGAAGTCTTCCATAGGCCTGGACTACAGCCCCTTAATCACTCATGGCTTCCGTGGTCTGGAGAAATGGGCCCAGTTACTCTCTGCAATTGCGCGTCTGCGCGGTGGCCTCAGCAGCACGGTGCTCAAGTGACGGGGCTAAAGCCGACACGTGTTTGTTGGAGGCGAAGGGTCACAAATTTAAAAGGAAACGAATGACTAGGATTTGTGCTCTTCGATGTGGCTGTGGTTTGGGGGGAAAGGCAGGGACACCGTGGGCTGTGTCAGTGCTTCTCAGGTGGCCTGTGGTAAGGGACAGTCGTGGTGGTTTTGCTGTTCTTTTGTGGACGGGTTCCTCTACAAAATACAGTTAGAGGGAATCATTAGAACAGCGCCATGTTTCTTGGATGTGCGAAAACGTCAGGTAGTTAAACGGCGTCTCAGTGCTGACCCTCAGTTTGCTTCTGTTCTGTTCTCGTCCGCCCGCCAGGGCTGGTCCGGGGACCCCTTTGCGTAGCGCTGGTCCTCTTAGCTCCTGAACTGCGTTTCCGCCTCCTGGACACGTTCAGGCCGCCTGTGTGTCTCTCTGCAGGTGAACGTCATTCACACGGCCAGCCCCATGGAGCACGCCAGCCACATGGCCGCCCAGCCGCAGTTCGTCCACCCGGAGCGTCACGCCTTTGTCGATCTCTCAGGTCACAACCTGGCCAGCCCCCACCCGTTCGCAGGTAGGCCTGCGGGCAAGCAGCAGGGCCGGCTGGGTCAGGCGGGGGGTGGGGTGCGGGGGACACCCTCCTGCCGAGAGCCCGGCCCCAGCTCCGAACAGCCATGGCCGCAGGCCACCCGACAGGGACTAAAGTAGCCCAGGGCAGGAAGTGGCCGGACATGGGCTTGAAACCTGTGCTGAGACTCTGCTCACATTTCTTCAAGCTCTTCCGGGTCAGATGCCGCATCAGTGTGCGTGCGTGCGTGTCTTTCTGTGGAGGACGGGGCTGAGGGCACGACCGCCCCCCGGGCCAGGTCACACCACCACAGCCCCGTGTCCGCTCCTCTCTCTGCAGTTGTCCCCAGCACCGCCACCGTTGTCATTGTGGTGTGCGTCAGCTTCCTGGTTTTCATGATCATCCTGGGGGTGTTCCGGATCCGGGCTGCTCATCAGCGGACCATGCGGGACCAGGACACCGGGAAGGAGAACGAGATGGATTGGGACGACTCCGCTCTGACCATCACCGTAAACCCCATGGAGGTAGGTGCAGACCGGCAGCCCCCGTGACAAAACCGCAGCGGGCAAGGGCCGAAGCTAGGCCCGCCCCAGAGAAGCAGCGTGGCCGTCACGTCTCCGTGTTTCTGTGGCTTAAATGTCATGTGATCCACATGACAACTCAGTGAGGGGCAGGTGGGTAAACTGAGTCTCAGAGAGGCCTCACTCAAGCTCGTGCCACCCAGCGAGAGGAGAAACGCACTCCCTGTGCATGACAGCCCCTGTGGGTGGTGAGCAGAGCTGTTTCCCCTTTGGTCTTGGATGAGGTGACCTGTCAGGCGTCCCCTTTGTCTGCGGCTCCCGGAGGGTGAATGGCACTGGACACCAGGGTCACGTGCCGTCTCTGTGTCAGACATACGAGGACCAGCACAGTAGCGAGGAGGAGGAGGAGGAGGAAGAGGAGGAGGAGAGCGAGGCCGGGGAGGAGGAAGATGACATCACCAGTGCCGAGTCGGAAAGCAGTGAGGAGGAGGAGGGGGAGCACGGAGACCAGCAGAGCGCGAACCGGCAGCAGCAGCTGGAGTGGGATGACTCCACCCTGAGCTACTGAGTCCCCCCCCCCCGCCCCCACAACCCCCCCTTCCGCTTCAGGAGACTCCGCTGCCCCAGCCTCAAGGGTCCACGGTGTACAAAGTCATTCCGGCCAGTAGGTCTGCAGACCCTCCCCGCTCGGTGTCACACCTGCCCTCCGCCCAGCTCGCTCTGAGCTCGCCGCGGCTCGCTCTGCGCGGCCCCCTCACGCCTCCAGAAAAGCTGCAATCCCTGGACTCACTGACAAAGGGTTAAAATTGCTCCCTCCCGCCTCGTAATCCTTTCTTCTTTTTTTAAAGTCTTTATTTTTTCCAAACTAGTGCATGTATAAAATGGCAGAATGGGGGTTAATATGTAGATGATGAACTGACTTTTTAATATTTTGTAAATAAATTGGGATTCCTCGTGTCCTCCGTGCTAGTGTGACCCAGGACTGGCATGCAGAGTGAGGCTTGAAACACAGGAGAGGCCCCGCGGGCTCCAGCCCCACCCCCACCCCAGAGGAGAGGGACCTGCCCTGCTTGGGCCCAGCTCAGTGCACACCCTCGGTGGGCGCCCCGGCGGTTCAGGGGCACGGACTTCCCCGCACTGCTCAGCAGCGGGGGACCGGATCGGGAGCCCTCTCCGGAGGCTAGAAACAGCCAGCTCTTTGCTTTGGGATTCTACCCGTTTCTGGTCTGACAGAGGGGTGGGGGTGCCGGGGTCCCTGGCCTCTTTCACACACTCCTCTGAGACCGTCAGCTCCTTGCACAGGAAGCTGGACTCCTTGTGTGCAGCCTCAGGTTCGTGCCTCCTCGACGTCCAACGCCCTGCCGGTGAGTGCGTGCACCGATGGCGCGAAGTGTCCGGCCACTTGGCGTGGAGACAGAACCGGCCTGCGTGGCCCGCGCTCAACAACGTCCGAGGCTGAGTGCGGGCTTTCCCCCCAGCGGCCCCAGAGGCGAACCCCGCTCCCCAGGAGTGAGAGGCCCCGCTGCTCGGCCCGTGGGGGGTGGAAAAGGAGAGGACAAGTCATGAGCTCAAACCCCGACAGCACTTTGTTTTTAATTTACATGTAAAATTTTAGATTTCTAAACCTGGGGGGGAAATAATCATGAATACTGTTCTGTGATCATAACTGCTAGTTTCGCGGACACTGCGGCTGTCACGCGTCGTGTGTGGCCGCCCCTCATGTCCTGTCGCTGTAGCTGCTCTGTGTAGACAATGGTAGATGCTAAGGCAGACCCTGCGCGGTGTCACTTCGCACATGTGTATATTGATGAGGTCAGAAAGTGTCCCCGCCGCAATAAAGCGCTGGCTCTCACTCCCGTGGGCGCGTCCTGTCTCGTCCTGGTTTTGTTCTAACCCTGCGCTCGCTGGTTTGGTTTTTGACCTGAGAACACAACATAAAAAGGCTTTTATTTCTTTCAGTAGGCTGTTCCCTCTCACATGAGGGCTTCACAGAGTGCCCTCCACCGGCTGTGTTGAACTCCCCTTCCCCATACAGAAACACGAAAAAAACTTCGAAAACAAAAACAGAAAATACTCTCCTCGCCAAGCACCCAGGCCACGCATCGGAGCCAGGAGGCCGGGCAGCACACAGGCACGTGTCAATAAGTATCACGGAGACGTACACTCGGCTCGTCCTACTTCCAAGCGGGTGCAGGGGGCCGATGACCTCAGCGCTTAGCTGGGACCAGAGTGTGGTCGGCAGTGGTCTGTGGGCGGCACTCCCCACGTGTGGACCGCGCCGCGTGCCTGCTGCTCACTGACCACAGAAGGCAGTGGGCTCTTCCTCTCTTCGAAGCCCCCGCCCCTGTCCACAGGGCAGCTGCTCCTGACTCTGCCCAGCCTCATGAGGCCTCTAACACATAAGGATCATCTGCGGGCTTCTAGAAGCCCAGATTCCTAGTCCCCTGTCCAGAGCTGGCTTCAGACAGCTAAAGAGGCCCAGGAACCTAGCATTTCTGGAGCTCCCCAGACTGCCCCTAAGGCTAAGCCTGAACTGCTTCAGGCTAAGTAAGGACCGTCAGAGAGAGAGACTCCACCACAGACCTTGCTCAGGTTTCTGGAACCTGATTTCTCTTTCTCAAGTAGGCTCCCAAAGGAGAGAGTTCTGGAGATCAGGTCCTGCCTTCCTTAAAACCTGCTTTACGAGGCAGGTCAGAGCCAACTGCACAAAGTACTCTGACCTCGATCCATGGCACGTTGAGCTAAGTCAAGCTCAGGTCTGTTTAATGTCCTGAGGACCAGCATATAGAATACTTTACGGGGGTGGAGGCCGTTCTGAGCCACAGAGGTTCAGTAAGTAGTTTGGCTGTTTCGTTTTGTTTTCTTACCCGCAAACAAAACTGCTTTACAGCAAAGAGAGGAGAGGATTTCCCGTACCCAAGAGTCACTTTAAAAGTGGAAAGCAAGCATCCCTGATTCTAGTGGGTACCCAGACTTCCTCTGGGAGCTGCCCCGCGCTCAGCCCGTGGAGAGCACAGAGGTGGAGGGGGCGAGCGGACAAGTGGGCACCAGGTAACGGCCGGGCGCCAAGCCCTGGGCAGCACGGTGGGAGCCTGGGAGGAAGGCAGGCTTCCCGGTGGGGAGAGCAGTCTTTGCTGGGTCCCGATTCACCAGCTGGAAGACTCGTGGTTACGGTCCTTAGCGAGGTGCAGCCTCCGAAGGGCTCGACTCGGTGTCTTCTCAGCGAAGCGCAGGGCCGTGGCTGAGGACGGCCCTCCCCTGCACAGAGGATGCATTTCCATTTATGGCTGTCGAGTTCCTGAAACATTTCAAGTCATAAATAAATAACCAGTGTAAACAAAAGGCAGTCTTGTAGGTTCTTTCCCGTGGGGTGCGGTTCAGGCTCTTGGGCCCCGGAGGACCGCTGAGGGTGCCTGGTTCCCAAGGCGGGCGGCCCGCTGCCTCCGGGCCCCGGGTGGGGGGAAGCTGCAGGAGCTGCTATTGCCGGTTATCTTTGGACACGTTGTGGGCCAGCCAGTTCACTTTGGTCTTCCAGCTCTCCCGCAGGGCTTCGTTAAACTTCACCCGGAAGTGCTTCAGAGCCTCCTCCTCGGTCTTTCCCAGCGCCAGAGAGTCCTGGGGCAGAGTCATCAAAGCAGTGAGCTCAAGGCAGAGGGGGCCCGTCCTGGCACACCCCTCCGCCCGACCGCCGTCAGTTCCCTCCTGAAGGAACTGCGGGAAGGGAATCCGGAGATGGCGCCACTGACCCTCCCTTGGGAAGAGCTCTTTGTTCAGCTCTCAAACCGGGACGGCCTCCTGACCCGCCCTCAAAGTAGGATGCCAGCCCCAGCCAGGAAGCCAGCCCCCCAAAGCCCCAGAGCTGGACAGGTGGCCTCGCCTCCCGCAGTGGACATTAACCCCGGGAGGTGGTGGCACAGCAGGGGGCGGCTTTGTTCTGCATGACCCGGGGGGCACCAAGAGCGGCTGGAGACCCACCAACCCTCCGACCCCCGGCTTCTCCCAGGCCGGAAAGACACAGGAAGGAAAAGCATTTTTCAACGGAGATGGGATGTATCTCGTTCACTGTCTTGTACGAGTGTAACCACCACAGCGGTGGACCCAGGGAGTCCCGACACCCCTGCAATGGCACTGGGTTGACCCCACCAGCCCTCCCCCCCACCCCCACCCCCGGTGCTGGGTCGTTTGCGGTATGAAGGACCCACACCGGGAGTACCCTGCCGGGTCCACGAACTCAGGGCCCCACGGACCGCAACGTTCAGAGGCAGAGGCCTTGGGGAGTTGGGGGCTGCGGGGCTGCCTGGCAGGGCCCGCCCCTGGCATTTACCTTGAGATACTGGATATCTTTGGAGCAGCTGAGCTCAGGCAGGCCGGCGGCCCGCATCAGGGCAAACAGGTGAAGGAACAGCGGCCCGTGGCGCCGCAGGATGGTATAGGCTCGCTCACAGTAGCCACGGAATCTGTGGGGGTGGGAGGCAGGGCTTTGGGTCCTCACGGCCATTCCCACCCCACTCTCACCCTGGAAACAGCCCCCACTCCCTTTGACCCCCCCCCCCCCCCCCCCCCCCCCCCCCCCCCCCCCCCCCCCCCCCGCACACACACCCCGGCCTCTTCCTATAAGACCTGACCCGGGACCCTGAGCACCCTCACCTTTCAAATTTCTCACTGTTATTCGTTTTCCCCTGCTGGATCACGTGCACAAAGTCATACGTGAGGATGAAGGGGACCCGCTCACGGTTGATTCCAAACTTGGTCTTGAAATTCCCCAGGAAGTGGCCAAAATCAATGTGGAACAGCTAAGAAAAGGGAAGGAGAAGCCATCGTCAGAGAGGAGAGTGCCAATGTAGGGGTGCGGTGGGGGGGGGGCTGGGAGGGTGACTGGTGCTGCCCACGTGGCCCCTACCTGCCCATTCTCGCGGATCATGATGTTGTCGCTGTGCCGATCACCAATGCCCAGCACGTAAGTGGCCACACAGTAGCCAGCACAGGAGAGGGTAAACTCCTCAATGGCTCGATCCAAGGCCTCCCTGTTGGTGTGTGGGTGGGGAGGGGGATTACAAACCATGGCCATGCCATTTTGCAGCAGCTTCCTCCAGGAGGTCAGGTCTGTGTCCCCTCTCCTTGAATCTGGCCTTATGACTCGCTTGGACCGATGGAACACCTCGCTTGGACACCTCCCGGAACCTAGGCCTTAAGAAAGGCCTTGAACTACCCCTTGAACCTACCCCTATTGCTATGGAGGGACGCCAAGGCTGGTCTACTCACTGAGGGAAGACCACACAGAGACACATGACTGGGGCCCCAGTTGTTTCACATGCCTAAGATGAGTGTGGTCATTACACAGCAATAGCTAACTGATCCTTGGGAGAAATAGAGACCTGGCCCACCCCAACACCGAGCAGACCTGGTCCCCAGCTGAGCCAAGAAGTTATGGAGACCATCAGGGGCCCTTCCCCTCACCTTTGACTCCTACACTGCTCCTCTTGGAAAGGGGGTCTGTCCCTAGGGCCCCGAACCTACCCAGGGTTCTTGGACTTGAGCCAGTTGAGCAGCGCATCCTTGTTGAAGGCAGCTGTGGCTGCCATGTTGCTTTTGTTCAGCTGGATGTTGGCGATGGTGTCTGAGTGAAGTACCACCTCGATGAGGCCTGTGCGGTCCCCGGTGGAGAGGCAGCCATAGGGGGTCATCCTAGCCGGGTGGGGGGAGGCGCGGGGAAATGCCATGGTCAAGGGCTGTCCCTGGGGCAGCGTGCACCACCCCCCGCCCCAGCCCAAGGAGCTCAGGACAGCCAAAACAGCCACAGGAGATGCCGGTGATGTTGCCAAAAGGGAGGAGAAAGGTGCTAGGGAGGCGCCCTTGGCACCTGGAGCTCCAGGGGAGGGCTCCTTGGAGAGCTCAACACCAGCACTCAAGGTGCAGAGAGGAAAAGTCAGCACTTCGACTGAGCTCATGTTTGCCCAGAGAGAAATCCAGGTGGTTTGGAAGATGTCCCCTGCTTCCCAAGACAGGGCAGGAAGCCAGGGAGCATGGGGCAAAGCGGGTAAGACACGCCAAGCGCCAGGCCTGGCCTTCTGCACCCTCGCTCTGCGGACTCATCGCCTCCCTCGGCCCTAACTTGAACCTGGTCTCTGCTCTTAGAACAGCCCCTTTTCCAACGTGAGGTGTGGGTGTTGGCTTAGACAGAGGACTCCTCCAAGGGGGCGGGGTCTGAGGTGTGGAGCAAGTCCAAGTGGATGACAGGAGGGCCCCTCACCTCAGGTCCAGTCCCTCCTGCTTCCACAGAACATCCATGAGCTGAATCATCTGCAGAGTCAGCATGTCCTGGCGGAGGTCTGTGCGGCCGTCCCCAGAAGGAGAAGCATGAGCTTCTGGTGGGTTCTCCACTCCCAGCCGCGCCCAGGCCCCACGGTCCCAGGACCCCCATCTCCTCAGCCCGCCCGCCCGCCCTTTCCCCGTGAGGGGGCAGCACAGCACGTGTCTGGGGCCCGGCCTGCTCACCGTCGCCGTTCTTAAAGATGATGCCCACGCTGCTGTCACCGCCCGCCTCCTCGTTGCTGTACATGAGCCACAGGGGCTTCATCTTGGAGTCCATGAAGGTGCACTGCTCCACGCTGAGGGCCAGAAAGCAGTCAGCAGGGACCCCCCCTCCCACTGCGGGGCGTCTGGTGGGGCAGGGGGAGGAGGCCCCGGATGGGGCTCGGGGCTCACCAGACTTCAGCCAGCAGGGTGCTGGGGTCCAGCGGGGACTGCAGGTTGGAGAGGGCCTCCAGGTAGGTCTCTTGGCGCATGCACAGGTGCATCAGCTCCTTGGTCTGGGGCTTGGTGGTCTTCTGGGAGCTCACCTTGACAAAGTCGTTCAGGGCCTTCAGTTTGCTCAGCGCCTCCCCCTGGTGAGTAGAGAGAGAACAGGAGGGTAGCGGGGGCGGGGGGGGGGGGGGAGCAGGCTGGGAGCCTCTGCCCAGCCCAGGGGGCTCTGAAGGGGCTGACCCTGCTCACAGAGCCCGGCCCAGGAGGCCAGGACTCCGGGCGAGCCTCACCTGCTTCATCAGCACCTTCATGTGGTGGGTGCTGCCCCTGCAATAGGCTTCCATGATGAGGCCGAAGCGCAGGGCCACGGACGGCACGTGCATCTCCGAGCTAGGGGAAGGAGGGGACGGCTGAGCCGCGTCCGGGGGGGCGAGGCGGGATCGCGAGGCCGCCAGGCCAGGCCCCCCCCCTCCCGCCGCCCAGGGCCGCTGGCTCCCCGTACCGGAGGTGCCAGAAAAGGAAGTGGCCGATCTTGCGGTTGGACAGGGCCCGGTCCAGCAAGAACTTGGTCAGCTCGCAGTCCAGGTAGGACTCGTACTTGAGGACCTGCACCAGCTGCAGCAGGTACTGGAAAAGCTCGTCGTCCCTGCGGAGGAGGGAGGCCGGCCTCGCCTGAGCAGACCCCAGGCGAGGCTCAGGCCTCGGGGGCAAACCCCGCCCGCGGGACTCACGTCAGTTTCCGCAGAGACTTGATGGCGAAGGAGCCCACGTGGCGGTCGGGGAAGCTGAAGTCCAGCAGCTCCAGGGCGCTCAGGACGGGCAGGTCCGGCCAGGAGCACAGCAGGTAGAGCATCTGTGGATGCAGGCGGTCAAGGTGCGGCTGCGCGCGAGGTCGAGGTTCGGCCCCGGCGGAGGCCCCGCCCCCTGCCCGGCCCCGCCCCCCCGCGCCCACCTGGGCCACATCCTCGTGCTTGTTCCACTTGGTGACGAGCAGCAGGCGGGCCAGCGCCTCGGGGAAGCGCTCCTGGACTTCGTGCCGCATCTTCCACACCAGGTCCTTCTCGTGCTCATACAGCTCCCCGGACCCCCGCCGCTCCAGGATCTCCCGCAGCTGCAGCTGCTGAGGGGTGCGGGCCGGGTGAGCCGCGGCCAGGCCAGGCGCCCCTCCGCCCACCGTCCCCAGCTCACCTCCTCCTCGCTGAAGCGCCCGTGCTCCCCGTGCCTCCCCAGGTCCAGAATCTGCAACGAGCGGGCCCGTCTCAGAGGAGCCCCCGGACCCGGGCCAGCCCTGGGGGTCCCCCACCCGGGGACGGGCAGTGTCAACACGCCCGGCACTGGGAGCTGTCCTGTGCACAGCACCCCCCGCCTCCACCCCCCAGATGCCAGGACCATCTCTCCCAGTAGCTATGACAACCCAAAATGTCTCTGGACATGGCCCCAAGTCCCCTGGGGGAGCAAAGTGGCCCTCACTGAGAACCACTGCTCTAAAGCAGGTTAGGACTCTTGAGGGTCAAGGAGGTCCCCCAATGTGTGTGGTGACCAAGCCCCAGCCCCAGGCCACTTGGGGGGGGATGGCAGGGTGGGGGCGAGGGGCACCATGCTCTGGGGAGCCCCAGAGGCAGGGTCAAGAAAGGTCATCTTTAGCCCCACAGCCTCTGGGCAGGGCGGGTCCCGGCCCGGTTGGCGAGGGGGCTGACCTTGTCCAGGGCTGGGTAGTATACAGGGTAGGGGGACACCTCAGGGAGGCAGATGACTAGGGCAGCAGCGCTCTCCGTGTTGGGGTTACTCCGCACTGTTCCCGCGGGGTTCAGCAGCTCCCCCTTCTCGTCTGGACACGGGGATGGACGGGAGTTGCACGAGGAATGCCACCAGCTGGGAGCCCACGCCCCCGGGCCTCTCCCTCCCGCCGGGGCGGACCTGGCGCGGATGGCCACATGTACAGGCAGCATTCACCGGTCTTGAGCTGGTCCTTGTAGTCAAACAGCATGAGGTTGGCCCAGGCGATGGGGCAGTCCTGGGGAAGACCACAGGCAGGTCAGGGCCAGCCGCCCGGGAGCCTCCATTTGCTCATCTGCAGGATGGGCGTGCCCTCCAGCCAAGCTTCCCTGCCCTCCCCCAGACTCCCTGTGAGGAAGCCAGCAAGGTCAGCCACCTCCTGGCTCCCTTCTGCGCCCAGATGCATCCCTGCTCCCGGCTTCTCAAGAAACCCCCAAATGAACCACCTCGGCCCCAGAAGGCTGGCCCAGCTCAGCTACGGGTCAGCGTGGCTCAGTGGCCAGTCATATCCCGGGCCCTGGTGACTCAGTGCCCAGCCACCATGCCTTCCCTGCTGGCTGCTGACTCGGGCCACTCTGCTCCCGGTGAGGACAGTGCACTCCCTCCTACCCCAGGGAGCAGCCGCCAGGTTCCAACCAGGACCGAAGGCTCAGGCCCAGATATTCCGAGTCCCCTGCTCATGAGCCCTGGAACCCGCCGCGGGCTGGCTCCCAGAAGCCTGGCCCCAGCATCCCCGCCAGCCCCACCCACCGCCTTCTTGGACTTCTTCTTAGTGGAGCGAGCCTTCTTGGCCTTCTCTATCACGGCGTAAAGTGCGAAGCAGAGACGAGCCATGCGAGGCAGGTCGCAGACGTTGATGTCAAACTCCAGCCGCTGCTTCCACACGGGCTCTGAGCACACGCTCACCTCCGAGCTGGACACCGTCTTGCACAGCGTCTCGTTGCCATGGAAAAGCCCAGCCTGCACCACCAGCTGGGGAAGGTGCGGGTGCGGGTGACAGGTGGCAGGGGCCCAGCCTCTCCCCATGCCCAGGTTCTCCCCCCTCCACCACCTAGGGCTCAGAGCTCCCGAAATGTCAGCATTTCACGTGGGTCTGAATGCCACTTCCCACGTGGAAGAAAGTAGCACAGAACAGGGGCGATCGAAGGCTTGAGGGGTTCAAGGTGAAGGGAAGGGCACCAAGGGCTGTGCATGGGCTCCCCACGACTCTGTGGGACCCCAGGGCATGTCACTTCCCTGCTCTGGACCTCAGTTTCCCCACTGGGGCTTGGGAACTTCAGGGGCCCTTCTACCTCTAATACCCAAGAGCCACCTCCACGGCTCAGAACCGCATGAGCCGCATGAGAAGGGGAGTGTTTAATGGCACCTGAACACCACTCTGCTCCACCCTGACACCCCTCCAGCCCTTCCAGAAAGCGGCTTCAATCCGGTGCTCCAGGATCTTGTCCAGGAGCCCCAGACCTGCCCTGCGTGTGAAATCACCCCAACAAAAAGTGCTCCACAAAGAGACTCAACCTCTGCGGACCCAGGCGTAACGTCCAGCAAATGGGACAATAATATAGGCACCTCACAGGCTATCCTATCCTGAGGAACGAGGGAGATGGGGTGGCGAATGGCCCGGAAGTGGGCTTGGCCCCCAGGGGTCCAGGCACCTACTGCACACACCTCCTAAGTGTGCCCAGGGCCCAACTGGAGCCGCGCCTCTTCGGCACCTGTCCCCCTCCCAGACTCTGTACTTCCCACATCCCTGGGCCAGGCCTGGCCCCGAAACTTCTACCAGAGTCAAATACCCAGAACTCCCTGGGCCTGGTTTCTGCGAATTAGCCTCTCTGGCCGGCCAGCCTGCTCCCCTCCCCTCTTCCTGTTTTGAAGCGGCTCACAACCACCCCAGGCAGGGATGCTGGGTAATGTGGTCAGGTGGCTTTCATGTGACGCCTCCCCTCCTTCCTCCACCACCCCTCGAGACCACAGCCACCTTGTTTGTGCAGAAAACATCCCCCGTCCCCCCCGGGAGCCCCCTACCTTCATCCGCTCGTCGGCATTCACTTTGCTGCCCTGGATCAGCTCCACGCAGAAAGGCTGCTCCAGGGACCACAGGGACAAGGAATAAGGCTGGGGCGGGGGCGGGAGAAGCGGAGCTGTCAGAGCAGAGGAATCCACGGGAGGCTCCCGCGCCTAGCGCCCCTGACCCCTGGCAAGGCCCGCGGCCACTCGGGGGTGGGCAGGGAGTGCTGCCGGTTTGTGGCAAGGCTCAAACACCCACTTTACCACCCTTTACCAGAAAACCTGCTGTGCGGATGCCCCAGGACCCCTGAGCTCTGCCTCTCTCCACTGCTGAGGGCAGGAGAGTGTGAGAAGGGCAGCGTGCGAGCCAGGCCTGGGGGCTGCCCGGGGAAATTTCGGGCAGCCCCCCACCCCCACCCAACTCACTGGTGTTGCTTTGGCTGGCCAAGTTCAAGGCCCAGCTATCAACACCCACCAACCGAGGAGCAGGAGATGAGGGGCCCTGGGCCCACCAGCAGCCGGAGGCGTGGCCCGGAGGCTCTGGGGCTGGACAACAGGTGGGAGGAAGGGATGGAGGGGAGGGTAAGCGGGAGGCACGGGCTCACCTTCTTCATGGGAATGGGGGGCGGTTTGGTGCGTGGCTTTTGGACTTGGGGGGCAGGGTTGCTCTGTTCCTCCCGCATGGCGATGATGGAAGAAGAGTGCACCATGGTCAGGTGGGGGGTCAGCCCGCTGTGCAGGCAGCTGCAGATGTACTGAGACGGGGGCACAGAGTGAGCGTGGCAGGGGGGGAAGCCCCATTCATCCCCCTGCCCACCCACCCCCCACCAGACCGGGGGCGACCACGACTCGGACCACCGCCTACCCCAGGCAGTCCCCTCCCGAGGACTCTTCTGGCCCCGCCCACTTCCTGAAGCCGGAGCCCTCCTGGTGCTCCTGAGGCGGGGCGAGCCCAGGAAGGGGACGCTCTCCCCGGGACCCCCAAAGGCCTGGCTCATCGTGTTGGAGAGGGGCCTGAGGCCCGGCTCCACACCCCACCCAGGCCCTGCCCCTCCCAGCCCTCGCCCTCACCTGGAACTGGCAGAGGGGGTAGCTGCCGTACAGGTACTCGTGCTTCCCGTTCACCTGCAGCGTGTAGTCCTCGGGCCGCTCGAGCAGCGGCTGCCGGAACACCGTGGCCTTCTTCCGGAGGGCACAGGCCATCAGCGCCAGGGGCACGTCCTTGCTGGACACCTGGAAGGTGAAGCTCTCCTGGGGGGAGGGGGAGGGAGGGTCAGCCCGCCACCCTTACGGGGGCCGGGGGGGGGGGCAGTGCATGGATTCTGGGATGCAGAGGGTGGGGTCGCCCGTTTGTAACAGGTGCCCCCCCCCCCCAGCACGAGCTCCAAGGGCAAAGTCTGACGCAGGCACGCGGCTGACACCCAGGAAATATTTACTGAATGAATGAAATGAATGGACCCGTGACCAAAGCCATTTGGTCATTCTGCCTCTCATCCGACTTGCCCGAGGGGACATGTGGCCGAGCCCCTCGCATGCGTGGATGCCCCACAAGTAGCACCGGGCGCCACTGGGAGGAGAGCGGATCTGGGGCTGTGGGGCGGAGGGCTGGGAAGTTCACGGGGAAGCAGCCCCTTGGACGCAGCAGCCTGGATGCAGCAAACGGGCCACAGCGTCCCCGGCAGGAGCCGCGGGCTCACCTCGCTGCCCTCAAACTTGACGTTGACCAGGAGGGCCCGGTTGGGGAACCGCAGGGTGCCGGCCCCCCAGCTCCGGGCCGAGGGCTCCAGCTGCAGGGGGAAGCTGTACTGCAGCCAAGCCTCCCAGCCCAGCTGCTGCCGGCGGGCGGCCGCCTCCTCGCAGAACTGGCGCATCTTGGTGCGAAAGTCGTTCACCTCGGGGTCCCGCAAGGAGTCGAACTCGTGAAGGCCTGAGAAGTGGGGAGGCGGAGTCAGCAAGGGGGCGGGGCAAGGGCGGAGCCGGGAGGACCATCGCACAGGCGGGGGGCGGGGCGGCGGGTCGCGAGGGGGCGGGGCCGGTCCGGGAGGCCAATCGCCCTGGCGGGGGGCGGGGAGGCCAGCGAGGGGGCGGGGGGCGGGGCCGGGAGGCCCAGCGCAAGGCGGGGGCGGGGCGGCCAGCGAGGGGGCGGGGCGGCGGGGGGCGGGGCCGGGCGGCCCAGCGCACAGGCGGGGGGCGGGGCCGGGCGGCCCAGCGCACAGGCGGGGGCGGGGCAGGGCGGGGCAGGGCGGGGAGCGCCCGAGGGCCCCAGCGCACGCGGGGCACCTTTGCCGATGAGGAGGCTGATCTGTGAGTTGACAAGCTTCTTGACCCTGTCGCCCTCTCGGGCCACCAGGCGCAGCACCGGCAGGAAGGGCTGGATGTCACACAGCCGCCGCTGCTCGTCCTCCAGCTCCTGCTGCTCGGCGGTCTGGTTGACGCAGGTGAACACGTAGGCCTCAGGGTCGCTGAGCATGTGGAAGAGCGGCTCATACTGGGCGCGGTGCCACAACACCTGAGGGGACAGTGGCCGGTCAGGCCTCGGGGATCCGGGAGGTGATCCCCCGCCCCCTGCACGACTGCCCTCCCCAGACCCCTTGAGCACTGACCGCACGGGTCACCATCACTGCCCTTCTGTGGAAGGTGCCTGGAATTCGCTAAAATCCTGTCCCCAGTCTCCCCTGTATGTCACCCTTGAGAGACTGCTGGCCGGAAGTGACCTCCAGCTAATCGTCCTGGGGCTCATCACCCTGATGTTCTAAATGTTGGCAACTAATTCGGAAAAAGTGAACAACTGAGAGCCATGAAACCCTCCATGGCTGCGGGCAGCTAAGGCGGTCAGCGTGTGTCCTCAGGGCAAGGTGTCCCCAGCGACCCTGGGAGAGCCGCCTAATAGTCAAGCTTTACTGCAGAAGTGTTCAGAGTCTCAGAGAAAACAGAAAAGGAGGGAACAGCCCTATTTTTGTCCCATGGGGGACAGATAACTATGGTCCATCAGCACAGAGCCATAGAACAGGGGCATGACCCAGAATCTAGGGACCTCCTGTACGAACAGAAACAGAAAACTCCAAGGGACATGGTGAGTGGGGGGGCGGGGGGCGGGGAACCCCAAGGTAGACAGCAGCAGATCTAATTCAAGCTCATTTCCATACAAACAACTCTAATAGGGGCGCCTGGGTGGCTCCATCTGTTAAGTGTCCGCCTCATGATTTCAGCTCAGGTCATGATTTCACAGCAGTAATTTGGAGCCCCAGGTTGGGCTCCATGCTGGGTGAGGAGCCTACTTAAGATTCTCTCTCCCTCTCTCTTTCTCTCTCTTAAAGAAAAACAAACACAAACAAACAAAAAACCCCACAACTCTAATAAACATAGTAATTGATACAGACCAGGATTTGCCAAAGTAACTGGTTTGCAGGCAAACCTGGCCTGCTCCCAAGTTATTAGAAGATAGCCACGCCCACTCATTTACATACTGCCTGATGTGGCTCTGGCCTTCCATTGGCAGAGATGAGTGTTTGAGACAAATAGCAGATGGCCAGCAGATCCTAGACTATTTACTATCTGGTGTCTGGTATAAATAAAAGTATGAAGAAATTGAAGTCAAACCGGGGTGTGTGCGGAGCCCCACGTGTTTTGCATCTCTGCAGTGTTGGAACTGTAGTCGCTGGCATGCATGGTTCAGAAAAATAAGATTACCCTGGGGGCTCCTGGGTGGCTCAGTGGGTTAAGTGTCCGACTTCGCTCAGGTCATGACCTCGTGGTTCGTGGGTTCAAGCCCCACATCGGGTTCTATGCTGGCAGCTCAGAGCCTGGAGCAGGTTTCAGATTCTGTGACTCCCTCTCTCTCTGCCCCTCCCCCTCTCATGCTCTGTCTCTCTCTGTCTCAAAAATAAATAAAAACTATAAAAAAATTTTTAATAAAATAAATAAGATTACCCTTCAAATGAAATTTACATAAAGCTAATCACATGAAAAAGGTGTTATAATGTTAACTCAGAAACAAAAAAAAAAGATCCTAAAGCCCCTAATCAGAATCATCACAAAAAACAACACTCCATAGAAAAGAAAACAGGAATCAGCCAAAGTGTTAACTGTGCTTATCTTATAAGGGCTCGGTTCACAGGTAACTTTTTTCATTTCTCTATTTTTTTCCAGTTTTCCTAAATCAATGTGTCCATATTACTTTTGAAATGGAAAAAAAATTAATTTTAAAGGAATCTCCCGGGAAGGGGATATTGAGAAACAAAACAAAACCAAAATTCCAAGATGGTCCCTTGCTTCTTTACTTTTTTTTTTGTTGTTGTTCAACTCCCAAGTATAGCTTTTAAAATTCTGAGCCGAGGTCTTGCTCTCTGGCGTGACCCATGAAATCCCACACTTCGTAAGTGGGATAAACCCTTTGAAAGATCACAAGACAACATCTACCAAATACTTTCCAGATGTCTAACCCTTTGACTCAGTAATCCACCCGGACAATTATTCAACAAAACTAAAAACTATTTCAAAAGATGATGTTTACTGCGATGACAGCTCTGAAGAGAGAAGACAGATAAGACTCTCTTAAGTGGCCGTGGATGGGGTGTGGTTCCAAAACCGATGGCAAAGTCATGGACAGAAAGAAAGGCCACCATGGGAACCACGCCCTGAAGCTCTCACTGGAATCTAGCCAGTATTATTGTGCGCTGATAAAAGGGAAAGCTGAATTCAAAATGCTAGCTGGGCACTCACTGTAAACGTTTATTTATTATTATTTTTAAAACTTTTTTATTTTATGAGAGAGACAGACACACTGGCAGTGGGGGAGGAGCAGAGAGAGAGGGAGATATAGAATCCGAAGCAGGCTCCCAGGCTCTGAGCTGTCAGCACAGAGCCCAATGTGGGCCTCGAACCCACAGACTGCGAGATCGTGACCTGAGCCGAAGTCAGACACTTAACTGACTGAGCCACCTCTAACTATAAGCTTTTAAACAATTCTTAGATATTATTTATCTTTTAAATTTTGTATTGTAGGATCTCAAATCTAAGCCTGAGAGTCTGTCTGTCTTTCCCCCTGAGTTCCAAGCTCTAAGGTCAGGGGAGGGTCAGAGAGAGAAGGAGACAGAATTCAAAGCAGGCTCCAGGCTCCGAGCTGTCAGCACAGAGCCCACTGGGGGCTGGAGCTCAAGAACCGTGAGATCATGAGCTGAGCCAAAGTTGGACACTCAACCAACTGAGCCCCCCCAGGCACCTGGGATCGTACCTTCTTGATGGTGCTGAGGTTGGCATTCCGGGACACAGGGAAGTTCAGATACACCCCCGTGGGCAGCAGGAAGTCAACCGCCACACTCTGATTCTCCTCTTTGGTCCAGAATTCCATGGGGCAGTCAACCCCCGGGGGCATCCTGCTTTTTCACTTCAAAGGCACCGGTTGTCCTGAAAAGGAAGAGAAGGCAAAATGAGCCACCGCAAGGGTACTGGATGAATCCTTTGTAAGGATCCTTTGGAAAACAGAAAGTCAGGACCTTTGGCAGTAGGATGTTCAGGAAGGAGTCCCTCCCGTGGGCACCTCCCTCTGGATCTCGTCCTGCCTGGGGTGGCTGGTGGCTCCTACTGTCCCCAGACCCCATCTCATCTGTCATCACAGATGGGCACTCACTCTGTCTGCATCCCTCACTCGAGAAGGACCGAAGGCTGCAGTTTTTTTTGGAAAGTTTCTAACCAGAAACCAAGTGGTTTAAAAATGGCTTTGGCCATCAAACAGTCTTGAAATATCTCAGTCATACCAAACACCCTCGGTCACACCCGCTCTCCAGTAACAAAATGCTATAGACACAGTTACGAGTCTTCTGAGTATCTCCCCTGCTCCAGGTTACCGCCACCTGCGTTCTGGTTGTTTATAATTTCCGTGCATGTTTTTATACTTTTATTAAATTAATATGTATTCGTGAACAATTCCTAATATTTGTGCATGCTTCCAAACTGGATGAAGAGTGAGTCTTCTGCAATCGCTTCTGCCAGTCAACATTCTGTTAGGTTTATCCAGCTGATCCACGAAGCTCAAGCTCATTCATTGGAACCCCTGTGGGATTTCACTGTTTAAATCGACCACAATCTATTTACCCCTTCTATTGTTGATGAACATCAGGGTTTGCTTCTGCTCTTTTTGGTTCTTACAAACAATGCTACAATGTATATCCTTATACACCTCACTTTGAGTATCTGTAGAGTGTTGTCCAAGAGAACTATGTGGAATCACACCGGTAATGTCAAGGCTGCCAGCAGCCTTTATTAAAAACAAATAAAAAGTGGGGCGCCTGGATAGCTCAGTCAGTTAGGCGTCCGACTTCGGCTCAGGTCATGATCTCACAGTTCGTGGGCTCGAGCCCTGCGTCGGGCTCTGTGCTGACGGCTCAGAGCCTGGAGCCTGCTTCAGATTCTATGTCTCCCTCTGTCTCTGACCCTCCCCTGCTCACGCTGTCTCTCTCTCTCTCTCTCTCAGAAATAAATAAAAACATTAAAAAAGTTTTTAAAACAAGTAAAAAGATAAAGTTTAGTAATATATTTTACTTAACCCAATAGATCCAAAATACAGTCACTTCAAAATGTCATCACACCAAAAAAATTACTAATGAGCTATTTTACACTTTTTTTTTTTTTTGGCAGTAAGTCTTTGAAATCTGGTGTATAGTTTACACTTACAGCACATTGCGATTTGGGCACTGGATTTCCATCAGAAATCCCTCATCTATATGTAGATTTCATGCAATTTACAGATATAAAGTAGGTTCAAAAACTCAAATTGTTCCAGATATACTTAAAAGTTTTCCAAGAAATGCGTTGAGTATCCATTTCTTAGGTCTGAATGAATTAAAATTAAATGAACTTTTAATTAATTAAAATTAATTAAAATTAATGAACTTTGTTTTTTCTTAATGTTTATTTATTTTTGAGAGGGGTGGAGGGGCAGAGAGAGAGGGAGACACACAAGCGGAAGCACGCTCCAGGCTCTGAGCTGTCAGCACAGAGCCCAACGCGGGACTGGAACTGATGAACTGTGAGATCATGACCTAGGGCAAAGCCAGTCGGCTTAACCGCTTAACCGACTGAGCCACCCAGGCACCCCATCACCCTCCACATTTCAAGTGCTCTAGAGCTACGCGTGGCTGGGGGCTGCCTCGTGCACAGCACAGGACCTAGACAGCCAGACAACACCCTGAACTTTGCTAACGTAGGGGCGCCCGTTAGCAATGGCACCACCACTGTCTGCTGCTTCACCTCCATGCTTTCATCAGCACTTGGGCTCATCAAATTTACTCATTTCCGCCAACCTGATGGTTACAGAATGCTCTTTTGTTGCTTTAATTTGCATTTCCCTGATCATCCATGAAATGCTTATCTTCTGCAAATAACCTGCTTTTACATTTTGCCCATTTCTTCTGTGGCGTTGTCTTTTTCTTATTGGTTGATAGGGTTTCTTTATATACTCTGGATTCAGTTCCTTTGTCGATTAAAGAAATTGGAAATATCTTCTTTTGGTCCAAATCATCTACCTTTTCACTCTGTTTCTGGTATCTTTTTGGTGAGCAAAAACTTGTAATGTTGACGTGGTCAAATATTTTCCTTTATGTTTTATGATTTTTCTTCTTTAGAAAAATATTTCCTTATCCTAAGATCACATCTTCCTAGATTTAGAGGACTTTTTTTTTTTTTTTTTTACAAATAGTTTATTGTCAAATTGGTTTCCATATAACACCCAGTGCTCATCCCCACAAGTGCCCTCCTCCATGCCCATCACCCCCCTCCCCCCCACATCCATCAGTCCTCAGTTTGTTTTTCAGCATTCAAGAGTCTCTCATGGTTTGCCTCTCTCCCTTTCCCCCACCATTTCCCCCTTTCTTCTCCCCCATGGTCCTCCGTTAAGTTCCTCCTAATCCTCCTATACGTGCAAACATATGATATTTGTCTTTCTCTGCCTGACTTATTTCGCTCAGCATAACACCCTCAAGGTCCATCCATGTTGCTACACGTGGCCAGATTTCATTATTTCTCATTGCCATGTAGTATTCCATGGTATAGATAAACCACATCTTCTTGATCCATTCGTCCGTTGATGGACACTTAGGCTCTTTCCATGTTTTAGCTATTGTAGAGAGTGCTGCTATGAACTTAGATGACTTTTAAAAATCACTGAAAAACGGGGCGCCTGGGTGGCTCAGTTGGTTGGGTGTCCGGCTTTGGCTCAGGTCATGATCTCGTGGTTCATGGGTTCAAGCCTCGCATAGGGGTCTGCACTGACAGCTCACAGCCTGCCTCGGATTCTGTGTCTCCCTCTCTCTCTCTGTCCCTCCCCCGCTGGAGCTCTGTCACTCAAAAGTAAATAAACATTTTAAAAAAATAATTGAAAGGAATTGTTTAAGAGGGATATTCTTTGGGGCTCTGCCATTTGGGCCCAGCCCTCCCCACCACAGTGCGACTGGGTGCTGAATCTGCTCCGAGCGGCAGCACGTGGGCGCCTCACCCCGTGCCTACCCTGTTACCACCACTGGGATCCACTTCCTCTGATTGTAAAACCACATCCTACTTTGGGTTCCTCTTTCTGAGAATGACCAGGCCAAAGGCTTTCTTTTTGATTCAAAGTGTGGGGGACACTCAAAAATCCTGGAGAACCCACTTAATGCTCAGTGTCCTTTGGCCACACTCAGGAAGTCAGGGGCACCTGTGGCCACTCGATCCCAGGGTCAAGATGAGCTCATGCGGCCCGAGCTCCTTGGGACTCCCGCCAAGGCCTCCCCCTGCTCCCCTGCCCCTTAGTGCTACGGAAATGAAGGCTTCAACTGCATCACCCCTCCTCCCTAAGAAAGGAAGGCGGGATGGTGTGGGCGGGGCATAATCAAATGGCGGAGGTGGGACAGGAGGAAGGAGGCACCTTCTCTCTCTTTGTGGGCCCAGGACCCAGATGCAGCTGCTAACAGGCCAGAACTTTCTATGAAGCTCAGACTTCCTCTCTCTGCAACGTAAGGGACAAAGATGTCAACGAATCCAGGGGCTTTCGTGCTGCTCCAAGAACGCGAACCGGTACAACCACCCTGGCAGTCTCCACCCTCAGCGGTATCTATGAAAGCTGGGTGCCGGTGTGCCCTATGACCCAGCAATTAATTACACCGTAAGTATACACTCACCAGAAACACGAGTACGTGTGCACCAAGAGACACAAACAAGAGTGTCTAAGGCACTGCTCTTCATAAGTGGCCCCCAACTGGAAACTTCCCAAATGCTCATCAGCAGTATAATGGGAAACTAAATCATGGTATCTTCTCCCAGCGGAACTTTATAGAACTAGGAAAAAGAACGATCTACAAATGCACACAACAATATAAATGAATCTCATAAACATAAGACTGAATGAAAGAAGTCAGGCGCAAGAGAAGATGTGCTTGTGATTCCAATGATACAGAGAACAAACACAGGCTGAGCTAATCTGTGTTGCAGAAGAAGAGACAGGGCTGCCCCCAGAAGGGCAGGTACCCCAGGAGAAAGGGGCTTCTGGGTGCTGGCGATTTTCAGTTCCTTCACCTGGGAGCCGGAGACTTTTCACAAGCCCCCCACGCCCTCAGTTCCAGTGGTTCCGGATGGCTTGACTCAGTTCCTGGCCGCTCACACAGCCGGAGACCCACCCGGCCACAGGGGTTGGGCTGGAACCCGGAAAGGGGCTTAGTCCCAGCCGATCACGGTCTACAGTGATTCCAGGATAAGCCTGTGAATGTCGTCAGTCCGGTGGGTTTGAAAGAAATTTCATCCGGATTTCTTTGGCGGATTTCCACCTGGGGGGCAGGAAGGAATAGCCACCCAAGGCTGCTGGTGACCACCTCTTGCTGCCCTTAGGGGTGGGGTCTGAGAAAAGACGACCATGTAGGAGAGCAGGGCTCGGCGTAAAGAGTACGAGTGGGGTCCTGAAGACACCCTTGGGTTCTTGGATGGAGACATACATGCCTGAGGCTAAACTCTATCCCTGACTTTTCAGTTCTATCAGCCAAAAACTCCCCTTGCCCCCTACCTTTTTTTTTTTTTTAACTTAGAGCACTTGTGTGTGTGTGTGTGTGTGTGTGTGTGTGTGTTACTTGCAGCTGCGTGTTCCATTTTAGGAAGTGCCTAGTGTTAGCAAGTTCTTTCCTTGGAAATTGGCCTGCCTCTGAGAGCTAAAAGCCTGAGCTTTCCATTGCCATCTAGAGGCACACAGGGTTGTCATCTGATGGCTATTTCTGCTGGATGGCAGCCTCAGTACCTCTGACTGTTCTCCCTATGGCAGTTTTTAGACTCTTGCCGAAGTTTCGTCCTTCGAGAAAACAAGACGCTGTGGATGGGACCTCATGGGCCAAGTGCAGAATTTTCTGGGTACCAGACCCCTATGCTTAGCCTAAGAGCAGATCAGCCCTTTCCCCCAAGGAAGTCCTTCGGCAGCCACATCACTGAGCTCACTGGCTGCCAAGCCCTCTAGATACTTCCCCAACTATATAATCAAGATCTATTTTTTCAAATATTTTAAAAAGTTAACTCATTTAGAGAGAGAGAGAGAGAACGAGCAGGGGAGGGGCAGAGAAAGGAGAGAGAGGATCCCGGGTTCTCCCAACTCATTTCCTGAATCTGAATACAGGAATTCACAATCACTGTTGGTCACTTCATCTCATGGAAATAATTGGCACTTGTGTATTACTGGACTTGATATTTGTACATATGACTCAGTCCGAGACATATTAGTTTAAACTAGTGTTTATTAAGTGCCAGGAGTCATGCAAGGCGCTGGGAGACGGCAGCGGAGAAGCTTACACGCCAGCTGGGGAGACACTAATACCCAAGCACACGGTGGGTAGGAAGAAGGATCACAATCTCTATCGACACGGTGAAGGCAGCGTGCCAAGTGGCGATGTGATGGAGAACCCTATAGGGAGGCCAGGAAAAGCCCCTCCGAGGAGACACCCCAGAGCAGAGGACTAGACCGTGCCAGCCAAGTCCAGGGAGGACAGACAGCAAGCCACTGCCGCTGGAGCCTGTGAGTGGAGCAGGGAGGGAAGGGAAGGGGGTAGAACGGGTTGAGGAGTCAGCAGGGACCCAGTCCTATGGAGCCTTTGCAGGGGTGATGCCTGGGTGTCAGAGTGACTGGCAGTCTTAGCAAAGGAGCCAGGGGTCCAATCTGTGTCCAAAATGATGCTGCTGGCCCCAGTGTGAAAGAACTGGAAAGAAGCAAGCATGCACATGGGGAGGTAGGGAGCTTCATGCCCCTGGTGAGGAGAAAGGCAGGGAATCAAGACGTATTTTTCAAATATCTTTAGAAGTTAATTTATTTTGAGAGAGAGAGAGAGAGAGAGCGAGAGAGAGAGAAAACGAGCAGGGGAGGCGCAGCCAGAGAAGGAGAGAGAGAATCCCAAGCAGGCTCTGCACTGTTAGCAAGGACCCCAGTGTGGGGCTTGAGCCCACAAACCATGAGATCATGACCTTGGCCGAAATCAAGAGTCAGATGCTTAACTGACTGAGCCACCTGGGTGCCCTGCAAGATCTATTTAGGAGCTCGGGCGGATGAGAGGGGGGTCGTGGGGGAAGGAGTAAGGATGACAGCCAGGCGTGGGCTTGGGAGGCTGGAAGGTGGTGGAAATCCCAGGGACACTGGAATGGGGAAGTGTGGGGGGTAAACAGATTTGGGGGCAACAGAACAGCAAGGTGTCCATTTCAGACATGGAACCTGAGCTGCGCAGTGAGAGCCGGGGAGCAGTCCCAGGTGTGGAGCTAAGGGGAGACGTCTTTGGGGCTCACGAGGCATAATTTGGGGTCAGCGGGCTACGCACACAGAGGTGTATGAGACGGCCTGGAGACAGCGGGTAAGAGAGGGCCAGGACCACCTTTGGGGCACCAGAGTGGCATCAACCAAAGATGAACCACGAGCAATCCTTCCTCGCTCTGAGTCAAGCCAGACTCTTGCGGCCCACTTCCGGGTGCACATCTGCATCATTAATACAAGATCAAAGAAAACCGTTCAACAAGGCGCGCAACCCCTTTCACTTCCCACTTCCCGCCAGCACGGTCCCCAGAACAGCCGTGGATGGCGGCGGGTCACTGCCGTGGGCCCACATCATCCCTCCACCACCGCGCTGGGAAGTGGCCAGTCAGACGCACCTTCTCTGGCCCAAGGTTGAAGCAGCCTCTGCCACTGTGAAGGTCTGAGGGGTCTGACCTTCTGGTCCTGGGCAGCCACCGGGGGTGTTTCCCCCAAGATTTCGTAACAGCGCCCCGTCCTTCCCGGCCAGCAGCCAGGGCTACAAGGGCCCCTGTTTATTTCTATGAGAGGAGGGCAGGCAAAGGATGTAGTAAGTCAGAGCCACGGTGCTTCCTCCAGACTGGGGACCCAGACTGGGGACGGGGTGGCCGCCCATCGACTAGCCCTCCCCCCCTCCCCACCCCCCCGGACTGGCACACCTGCTGGCCGGTGGCTCGTGCCGAGCTCGGGACTCCTGAAGCATCCGCTCATTTCTCTGAAATTGCAGGCCTGAAATGGCATGTTAGTTCGGGCTGTGAGCCAGCATCTGTCTCCCGGGCCGGGAGGGTTCCCTGTCCTCCTAGTGACCACTGCAGATGTGCCTGTCGCTCCGCAGAGGAGGCGCTGCCCGGCACTCGTCGATGTAAAGACAGGCTTTCTGGCGCTCGAGTCACATGCCCTTGGGAGCCGCTTCCCCAGGGAACACGTGAGTCACTCTCAGCAGGCTCCGTGCAGGGGACAAGCCGCGGGGAGAAGGGAAGTTGCGCCCTGCTTTATCTGAGAACTAAACCCCCTCCTGCCCGAGGGAGCCTGGCTAAGACGCGCCATGACCTTCGCCTGCTGCTCTGGAGCGAGAGTCCAAAGGTCCCCGGGGGTCATTGCCACGATTCTGTCCAGAGACAGAGATGCTCCTGGTCTTGTAACTCGGGGACAGAACATTGAACTCTAGGAAAGTCACAACCCAAATAGCTCAAGAGGGGTCTCAGAAACGTCTAGAAGGCGGTTACACACACTGTCCCACATCTACCACCAGCCCCGGCTGGGAGGTTTATGACACCAGCAGTCACGCTGACGAAGGACAGGGAGCCACACGGCTGGCCTTCCGCGTGACGCTGAGCAGAGCACAGTCTGGTTGGGCCTCCTGACCTGGGCTTATTCTCAGGTATTTCTCAGCCTCAAAACAGCCCTTCTGGTAAGTGTTCCGTTTCCCAGACTCTTCCGTGGAGAACGAAATGGATGTTTTTGCTGTTGCCTAACTGATGTGGGAAGCGGGCTCTTCAGAGGCAAATTCCAAAGGTGCTTCACCCAGAGGCCCCACTTCCCAACAGAGCTCCTGCATGTTTGCCTTAAAGGAGCTTTCTAGAAACCAACCCTGCTCTGGCAGCCAGGGAGAGCCCAGATGATTCGATAACCACATCTTCCCGGAGACCCTCAGGAAGAAGAACGTGAGGGGCCCCTTTTCAGCCCCGGAGTGTGCGGGGTGCCAATCCCGTTCATTCATTCATTCAACAAGTATTTGTCTGAGCATCAGAGAATGTGCCCATCAGGGAATGAATGGGACAGGCACCAGCCCCGTTCGTACAGGGTTTTTAGCCTAACAGGAGAAAAACAAAAACAAACAAAAAGCAAAATGAATAACAAGCTGATTTCAGAGAAGAAAAGAGATGGACTGTCATATAAGGGGCTTGCACGGAGGGTCTCTTTCGGATGGCGGGTCAAGGAAGGGTGCTCGAATGACGTCATATCAGAGTTGAGGCCCAAATGGTGAGAAAGATCAGGCAAAGATCCATGACACAGGGGTCGGGCAGCTGGAGCGGGAAGTGCAAAGGCCCTGAGGCAGGAGACCAGGTGACCGGAGGGGAGATGGCTGGATCGACAGTGAGGCCTGCCAAGCCTTGTAGCCACCATGAGGAGCCAGGTTTTGTTATCGCTGCGGTGGGAAGCCACTGGAAGGTTTTAAGTAGGAGACTGAAATGGCCTGACATTGTGCCTTACAAAAACGGCTTTGGCTACAGTGAGAAAAATGGAAGGGAGAGAGGCAAAAATGGAAGCGGAAAAGCAGTTAGGCCAGGGCTAGATTCACGAGGGAGAGGTTGGGCCCTAACTGCCACAGAACATCCGAATCCTCTGCTCTTAACAACTGAGGAACGGGCATCCCAGAAACCCAGCCTTGAAACCTCCTGTCTTTAAGAATCTTCTTGGGGCGCCTGGGTGGCTTAGTCGGTTAAGCGTCCGGCTTTCGCCTAGGTCATGAAATCGCGGTTCGTGGGTTCGAGCCCCGTGTCGGGCTCTGTGCTGACTGCCAGCTCGGAGCCTGGAGCCTATTTCAGAGTCTGTATCTCCCTCTGTCTCTGACCCTCCCCTGCTCACACTGTCTCTCTCTCTCTCTCTTAGAAATAAATAAAAAATAAAAAAAATATTTAAAAAAAAAGAATCTTCTTGACAAAGAACTGAGGCTGTAGACCAGAAGGCAGGCTGACTGGTCCGGGGTCCCCCACCAGGTGCAGTTTTAGGACAGATGAGCTAAAATTTTCTCCCAAAATACAGAATCTTTCATGAAAACCACTTCACTGTCTCCCTAGGAGGCTCCGGACCAGCATCCTCTGCCCCCAGTGGCCACCGCGGTTTTGAGGGCAGAAAAGGGTCTCCGCACCCCAGGCAAGCGATGTCCGCCACAGCAAAGGGGAGGCCTTTGCCACGCAGGAGGTGCCTCTGCTGCCCTCTATTACGAAGCCCACTGTCCAGCGGTGGGCAGGTGGAAGGGGAACATGTATCCAAAAGGAAATGGGAGGGAAGTCTCCAGAAGCCAGAGGCCAGCCGAGTCGGACATCCCCAGAACCGTGCCCAGGACTAGGAAGGAGGCGCTTGTCTGGAGGATTGTCTGATACCGTGAGCTCCTGTCACAGGAGAAAACGGGATGGGAGGGGCGAAGGCCGAGGATGGATGTGATAAGAAAGTAATATGTGAGATCGTGCAAAAGGCGTCCCCATGTCTGCTTGGCAGGTAAGCCAAGGACGCAAGCTGCCTTCACCCATTGTCTATCCACTCTGCCTCCCTCAGTTCTTTCTTTGTTTTTTTTCTTCTTCCTTTTACTGTCTCCCATTTTACATTTGTCCCCCTTGAAGCCATGTGATTTTTAATAGAACAGTAACTTTTGGGGCACCTGGGTGGCTCAGTTGGTTGAGCATCTGACTCTTGATTTTGGCTCATGATCTCACAGTTCGTGGATTCAAGCCCCCCGTTGGGCTCTGTGCTGACAGTGCAGAGCCTGCTTGGGATTCTCTCTCCCTCTTTCTCTGCCCCTCCCACATAGGTTCTCTCTCTCTCTAAAAGTAAATAAAATTAAAAGAAGATAGAACAGTAACTTTTAATTTGAGTATTTAAAAATGAAAAAAAAAATCCCCAGTGGAGGAAAAACAAATCGACATTGAAGAATGAGAGGTACAATTCTCTGGAACTTCTATTAAAAAAAGAGAGGGGCACCTGGGTGGCTCAGCTGGTTAAGTGTCCAACTCTTGATTTCAGCTCAGGTCATGATCTCATGGTTTGTGGTTCAAGTTCCATATTGGGCTCTGCACTGACAGTGCTGAGTCTGCTTGGGATTCTCTCTCACCCTCTCTCTGCCCCTTCCCCAGCTCTCCCTCTCTCTCTCAAGCAAAATAAATAAATAAACTTAAAAAAATTTTTTTAAAGAAAAAGAGAGAGACTCCTGACTTCTGCTGTCATCAGAAAAATGAACCAACTATCCTACAAAAAAATTCTCTCCCAACCATCTCTTATCATGTTCACATCTGATCTTAGCCAAAAGGCCGAGAAGCAATTCTCAATATTATCATGTTCAGTTCATGGCCCACCCATTGAGGCCACAGGCATGCAGCCAAGCTGAATCTCCTGAAACTACACACCAAAATCAAATGAAAGATCCATGGCCTCAAATCTGGTAATATGGGAAGTTCAGAAACTGCCTTAAGAAAGCAAGTCTAAAGGAAAAAGAAAAAATGATATATACTAAGGTATTCATTTATGTTATTGTTTGTGAAAGTAGAAAATCAAAAATAATAGGGAAACTATCATAATTAACTTAATAGGAGAAAGTATAGTCATTAAAATGACACCTGTGTACACTACACAGCACTGCAAACACCCCCACATTAACCGAAACAAAAAATGCACATCCATTCACCACGGCAATGCCTGTCTGTGGACAAAACATTTCAGAAAGCATACAGAAAATGAAAACGGACATAAGATGAGTGAATATGAATGTCATAGTGATTATTTCAGAATTTTGTTATCTATGAAAGTTATACAAGCATGATTTTAAAAATTAATTAAAACTAAGATGTTTGCAGCAAACAAGTAGCTCATCCAAACCTATCACCCCTGACTGCAGTTGTTTCTTTGCGTATTTATCTCAATATTTGAAAACAATAGATTTATACAGGTTTTCAAATTTTAACTTCTTACTTAGAAGATGAGTTTGTGCTTTCCAGCACACACACGCATGCACACATCCTCTCCTCCATCTTCTGAACATAGCTTTAGGATAATTTTTGGTTAACCAAACTTCAGTGCTTACATAACTATGACCACATAAATACTGTTCAAAATTAAACCACAGGGGCGCCTGGGTAGCTCAGGCGGTTGGACGTCCGACTCTTGATTTTGGCTCAGGTCATGATCCCAAGGTTGTAAGATCAAGCCTTGTGTCGGGCTCCACACTGAGCTTGGAGCCTACTTAGGATTCTCTCTCTCTCTGTCTCTGCCCCTCTGCTCCTTGTGCTCTGTTTCTCTCTCTTTCAAAATAAATAAATGTGGGGCGCCTGGGTGGCTTAGTCGGTTAAGCGTCCGAACGACTTTCGCTTAGGTCATGATCTCGCAGTTTGTGGGTTCGAGCCCCGCGTCGGGCTGTGTGCTGACTGCCAGCTCAGAGCCTGGAGCCTGTTTCAGAGTCTGTGACTCCCTCTCTCTCTGACCCTCCCCTGCTCACGCTGTCTCTCTCTCTCCTAGAAATAAATAAAACATTAAAAAAAAATTCAAAATAAATGCATATTAAAATTTTTTTAAAAACAAAACTAAACTGAACTAAACCACATAGCACACTATGGTTTTATCTCCTTTCTTCAACTTTTTGTTATTTCTATAGTTGATAGTTACCTCACTTATAATTTGCTTCATTTTCCATGTACAAATATCAATTCTTGGGGTGCCTGTGTGGCTCAGTCGATCAAGCGTCTGACTCTTGATATAGGTCAGGTTGTGATCTTGCAGTCATGAGATTGACACCAGGGTCAGGCTCTGTGTGGAGCATGGAACCTGCTTGGGATTCTCTTCCCCACGCCCCCCCGACCCCCCCGCCCCCCCTGCCCCCCCCACCCCTCTCCCACTTGCACATGCTCTCTCCTCTCTCTCAAAATGAAAATACATAAACAAAAAGATAAACATATGTTAATTCTTCCCTAAACTTCCCAACAGAACGATAAAACTGTTCATAATGTGGTAAATATGTCAGATAATCCATCAGCTTCATTTTTTTCCACTGGAGATATTTTTCCTAGGGCCCTCAGCCACCCTGCTCCAAATTAGCCTGCTTGCTCTCTAGATCAGCTGCACAGTTGTAGCACTGAAACTTTGCTACACCATTTTTAGGGAATTCTCTTCACCATTTTCTCCACCAGTCCGAGTTCTGGGTTGCAAGAATCCTACTCCCACCGATTAAGCAGGAAAGGAGCTGACAGATTATCTGACTTATTTGCTTCATTATGAGAATTTTCATAGTTCTGTTGGAGAGTTTGAGGAAGAACTGGTGATTAGTACATTGAAACCATAGTAAATAAAAACACGAGGTGCTTATCAACTCCAGGAAAGACAAAAAGTTGGGCAAAAAAAGAAATAAAACTTAGTACACTGGATTCGTGATGCATGTCTGATGGCAAAACTGCTCCTATCGCCACTGAGTACTGAATGCCAGTTTGGACCTCTGCCACTTCTGTGCCAAGAATTTGGCCTTGTAGCCCATCATTGCCATGAGTACTTAATAACCATCATAACCATGGATACAGCTCATGATTCATCCCTCTCCTCTCTTAAAATACTGCATAGGTGCATCTTATCAGTGAAGTCTAGGTCACAGGTGCTGGCTACAGGGAAAGCTTGGAACTGAGTCCGTTTTAGTTCCCATGGTGTGGTAGGTGTTAGGTACTTTTCTTTGTACTCACAAAGCTCAAATTAAGATAACAGCTGACATATAGAAAGCCATTTGGAAGCTGAGCCAAATGAGAACAAGAGATAATCGCATATTGTATCACTTGTTCCTCTTTTTTGGCTTACTCTATTTTAGTAGAACATACTTTCTAGTAGTTTCCTTGAATAGGGATACAAAAGTGTATGTGTGTGCATGCTGTTTTTTTTTTTTAATTCATATCTTAAAAAATGTCCTTATTTTATTATTTTGCTTGAATGACAATTACAGAATTCTTGTTAGGGAATTAATTTCCCTAGAAATTTGGAGGAGTTGCTTCATTGTCTTGTAGTTTCTGGTGTTGACTTTGTACAAAGTCCAGTGTCATTCTGTTATCTGTTACCTGTGGCCTCTTTTTATTGGCTTTTGGTAATTTCTAGCTGGAGTTCTGAAAGTTCATGATGATGTCCAATAGCACATACTTTACTTTTATTTGCATGTCTTTTATTATTCATTGGTGAGTACTACTCCGAGACTCTTAATGTAGAAGCTCCTTCAGTTCTAGAATTTTTTCCTCTAGTTTGATAAATTCCCCTTCTTCATTTTTCTCCCTTCTCTGTCTTGAGCTCCTATGATTGGATATTGGGCATCCTGAATAATGAAGTCTCCAGTTTTCTTATATTTTCTTTCCTGTGTCCCATCTCTCAAGCCTTTTAGTTCTACTTTCTAGAATTTTATTTTTCAGAAGGACAAATATCGTATGTTCGCACGTATAGGAGGATTAGGAGGAACTTGACGGAGGAACAAGGGGGAGAAGAAGGGCGGAAATGGTGGGGGAAAGGGAGAGAGGCAAACCATGAGAGACTCTTGAATGCTGACAAAAACTGAGGACTGATGGATGTGGGGGGAGATGGGCATGGAGGAGGGCACTTGTGGGGATGAGCACTGGGTGTTATGTGGAAACTAATGTGACAATAAACTATTTGTAAAAAAAAATAAAATAAAATAAAATAGAATTTTATTTTTCAATTTCCAACTCTATTCTCTTGAAAATTTGCTTCTATCAGTTTTAAAAAATATTTTATTTTATCATTTTATGTTTATTCATTTTTGGTAGAGAGAAAGAGAGAGCAGGGGAGGGGCAGAGAGAGAGGGAGACACAGAATCCGAAGAAGGCTCCAGGATCTGAGCTGTCAGCACAGAGCCTGATGAGGGGGTGCGAATTCACGAACTATGAGATCAAGACCTGAACCAAAGTCAGATGCTTAACCAACTGAGCCACCCAGATGCCCCTAAATATTTTATTTTTAAGTAATCTCTACATCCTACATGGGGCTTGAACTTACAACCCCCAATATCAAGACTCACATGCTCTACTGAGCCAGCCAGATGCATCTACTATCATAGCTTTTATATCCAAGAGTTTATTATTGTTTTATGAGTATTCCTGTTTTTAAACAACCATGTTTAATGGCTTCTGACTCCTTATTTTCTCTTTGGGTCTCTGTCTTTCATGCTAGAGCCTTCATTCCCTTCCTCATTCAATCCATAGCTGCCCATTCAAATTTAAGAGAGAGGTACCAAGAGTCATTTGTGCACGGGTAAGGCCAGTTGCTTGGCAGGTATCGCTGTGAAATGACCAAGTAGCAAGCTAGCTTTCCTACAGAATCATTATTTGAGGGCCATTTTGTCTTCTGAGGTCAGTTTCCTCAGAGAAATCCTTCAAGGCCCTGGCTGGAAAAGAGTAGAAACTAGGCTGCCGTGTTCTGGGAGCCCACCAGGAGAGGATCTCACTGTTCAGTCTACAGACTTTCACCAAATCTTCCTGTTCTCAGTACAGGGTCTCCTCCTGTCTGCCCCCCCCCCCCCCCCCCCCCCCCCCCCCCCCCCGGCAGCTGCTCTCCACACAGCCTCCTTCCACCCCAGGCTGGGCCTGAGCTGCCCTAGTCAGTGGTGCCGGTGGGGAAATAAGCCTTCTGCTGGGGTGGAGGAGGGAGCCACCTGGCTATGTGGGCTGAGAGGGGGGCTGTTGCTCTAACACACACCTCCAACCAATCTTCCTGCTTCCGGCCCACCCTGAACCCCATCATCGAGAACACTGAAGCCCCACTCTTGAGTCTTTGGTGGGTCCCTGGACACACAGGCCTTCCTCTGCCCACAGCACAGGACATTCAACATTCCAAGCTTCGTATCTCTTTCACCGACCTGCTTTCTGTCTCTCAACATGTTTACTCACACCCTCCTCCTCAATCATCATCCTGCTCTGTTTCCTTCAGGACTTATTCCTTTTTTATTTCTTTAATCTCATTTTAGTGGGCTTTTGAAACAGAGCCAGGATAAACATATGCATTCAATCAGTTACCTTTTCATGGAAGTTCACAATAATATTTAACAATACATAAAAATCAAGTTTCCAAAGATAGGCACATAGAAGGCCTTCTGGGGCATTTGGGGGAGGATACTCCTTCATGAAGACAATGGTTCTCTGGGGGGTGGGGGAGGGCATGGTTATAAAAGTGTTATGCTAATTTTTTTTGCAAACTTTCAACAGTAAATGGGCATTTTTTTTTAATAAATAAAAAAGCATGAGGGTTAAAAATTATGAAAAGGCGTCTTCTGAAACAAGAATCAAGATATTAAAAACAGGGGTGTAAACAGGTGTGTAGAAGACACTCTAATCACCCAACAGCGGTTTACACAGACCACGGTTTTTGACTTTGTTCCAGGGAGTTCCGTAGAGGCAACTCCAAGACCTTCAGAGGGTGGCAGAAGTGGGATAGGGGGCCGAGTGGCCATCCTAGGCCAGTTTCTACTTGTACCACAGGGCACTCTGAGTTTATCTACTTTATAGGTCAAAATGCTGCTTAATATTTTGATCCTTTTTTTTTTAATGTTATTTGTTTTTGAGAGAGAGAAGGAGTGCCAGCGAGGGAGGACAGACAGAGAGGGAGACACAGAACCCAAAGCAGGCTCCAGGCTCCGAGCTGTCAGCACAGAGCCCAACATAGGGCTTGAACCCACAAACTGCGAGATCATGACCTGGGCCGAAGTCGGAAGCTTAACTGACTGAGCCACCCAGGTGTCCCAATATTCTGATCTTCTTAAAGATCTCCACACTAACAAAGGAGTTGGGAAAGTACTGACGAAGATCTAGAGAAAATGAGATTGGGGTGGGGCTGGGGGGAAAGCTTCCAAGAATGACACCACCCTGTAACCCTGTGTTCCTTTCCATCAGGAACGACAGTAGCCGTTCAAGCACCAGATAAGGAGGAATGTGCCGTGTAGCCAAGGAATACATATGTAACCACAGGGCTTCTAGATGGCACTGTGGCCTTCCAATCTAGGAACTAAGCATACCCAGCTAGCCCCAGACCCCAAAGAGGGGGGAGGTGTTCAGCTAATACTCAGCCAGTGTCCATCTCTGGCCTCAATTTCCTCATTTACACAATGAAAGAACTGCATTCAAATCCCAGCGAACACCCTAGAAGTCCCAAGGAGTATTGTCTTACTGATAAAGTGACTGCCAACGAAACAGAATGTCCCTACCTTAAGGACTCCTTGAGAAGCAATACTAAGTTATTACACTTCAATACACTTCTTTCGGAGGAATGTTTTCATTTTTCTCTCCCCAAATAGGCCAGCCCAACTATACCATGACTGAAGCAAGTCAAATCCCAAAGGCTGCAGCTTAATAATGGACTCAGAGCACACATACCCCCCTTCCTTTTGCCAGTAGCAACATCCCTCTCCTGGGGAGCTGGCCAAGGTCTAGTCCGCTCCCCCTTGTTGGTTTCTAGCACACATTTGGGTCATTGTGTTCCTTTTGGTGCTCTAGCCCTACAGAGAGGTTCTCTTTTGACTGGACAGCCAGGGAGGGAGGATTCTGTTCAAATTCTTAAGGTGCCTGCAAAATCACATCTCTGTTCCCCCACACACTTGGCTCCATCACCCAACCTACCTCTCTGGAATGGTCCAAGAAAGGCCAGCAGCCCCTCAGTCTGGCAGATCAAAGATGCTTTGGAATCATTGAGCACCATTCCGCCCCTGCCTGACCTTCAGCTCCTTATCTGTCTGTGGGGAGAAAAAAGAGAGAGAAAGAAAGAATGAATGAAATTTTTAAAAGAGAAAGCCTCACAAGCCTATGCACTCCCTTACAGGACTTCAGCTGTCACACCTAGGCCCCCGTTTTGCAAACCAATTACATTCTGCTTGATGAGCCTTGGGAATCACCTGTGCCAACGCCCCCCCCCCCATCCCCTCCCAGGCCCCCAGCTCCTTTAGGTGGTGCTGAAGCAAATCTCCAGGGCCTGAGACCGGAATATATATGCATACAGATAACTCAGATCGTTTTCGATTTATTTGTTGGTTTTATTTGGTTTTGAAAGCAAAGTAAACGATCTGAGCCAAGCCTGGGTTCAAGTTCCATTCAATGGCTGCAAAAAGCAGATTCCTGAACTTGAGGTCCCCATAAAGTACTACATTGCATCATACAGGAAGACTTATCCCTGCTTCCTGGAGATGAAAAGGGTGAGTGTGTAGGAAAGACAGCCGCCCAGTCACTGCATCTGCGGTATTTCTTTCCCCTGCTGTGGGCCGCTCCTGGGAATAATCTAACCCCGAAGACTGCAAGACACCTGAGCTCCGGAAGCCGAGCCGGCTGGATTTTAAGTCGGACACGCCCCTTCCTCCAACCTGCGGCCCAGGCCACAGCTACCACCACAGCAGGGCGACTCCTGCCACCGGGTTTGCCTAGGGGACGAGCAGGAATCTTAAGCCATTCGCTTCTCCAAAGGCAAAAAGCTCAATGCCGCGAAGCCGTTGGAAAAGGTGTCTATTCCAAGAATACATTTCCCAGGACCAAGCTGGAATTCTCACTGCCGAGAGCCTGATCCCTGGAAGGGAACTCCGTTCCTGCTGCAGGAAGCCAGGCACGCGGGCTCGGATGGTCTCTTCGCTCAGCATCCAGGGGAGGGTGGCAAGGGCTTCCCAAGAGAAATGAGAAGTCAGCGCCAAGAGTTAAGGAAGAAATAACTTCCATTGCTGACCGACGGAGTTAACAGGAGGACAAAACCCCGGCGGCTCAGACACAGGGACGTGAAGACGTGATTATAGAGAATGCACTTTCAAAACAAGGAAAGACAAAGCAGAAAGCATGATGGAGCCGAGAGAAGGAAGAGTTAGGGAGGGCAAGAAGGAATTAGTCCTCCGGAATTCAGGTCAGGAAACAGGGAGCTGGGGCAGAATTCACAAGAGGGCGGCCAAGGAGGAGGCTCTTCCCGGAGGAAGGTGCGTCTTCGGCTCTGGCCCTCACGCTGCCCCGGACCTCGGTATCTGGGTCCGCCGCCCTCCAGCCCTCTGGGTTCAAGGGCAAAGCTCGGGAGGCACCGCCAGGAATGGACACGGCGCAGGATGCTCCGTCCGGAATCGGGGACAGGGGGAGGGGAAGATGCGCACGGCGACCGCGGGGCCCCTGACAAGTAAACAGCTCCCCCAGAACAGGCGCGTCCGCGTCCGGAGCCCGGCTCAGGGACCTGCTCAACCCCCCAAGGACGGCAGCGGGACACCCCGCATCCCCGCCCTCCCTCCCGGAGGCACAAAAGGGATGCGTGGAGACCGGGAGAGCAGGAGAGCGTGAACCGGCCCGCACCAGGGAATCACAACGCGAGCGCGGCCCCCCTGCCTCGGCCTCCCCAGCGGGGTCCGGTCCGCCCCGGGGCGCGCGCGCCTCCCCCCGCCCCCACGCCCCAGGACCCCCAGAGCCCCAGGCGGACAAAGCCCGGCGCTGGGCGGGGCAGGGTGAGCGCAGGGGGGCACTGGGACCCCGCAGACGCCCGCACAGGTGGGCTCCGTACCGGGTGTGGGTGCCGGGGGCGGGGCCCGGGCTCCCTGGAGACGGTTGCCCAGGGGACGCGGCGGGCGGGTCCCGGAGCTATTCGAGCCTCCCGGCGGCGGCGCCGAGCCCGCGGGGGCCTGAGGGCAGGCCCGCGGCGCGGAGCGGGCTAGCGGGGCAGCGGCGGAGGGGCGCGGCCCGGGGCGGGGCCCGGACAGCGGGCCGCCGGGGGCGGGGCCGGGGGCGGGGCGCCGGGCGGGGGCGGGGCCGGGCCCGCCGCACCGCGGGCACCGTCGGCAAATTCTCGCAGCCCCAGCCCGGCGGAGTGTCGGAGAGCAAGCGGCCGCGCAGAGCGCGGAGGCCGCCGCTGCAATTCCTCCCCGACCCCCCGCTGCTCCCGCCCCGCGGGTGGGGTGTGCACCTGGAGCCGGGAGCCCCCCGCGGCGTGCGCGCGCTGGCCCCGGCCCCGCTCCTGCCTGGTAACCAGAGGACAGAAAGTGCCATTTGCAAAGGGAGAGACGGCTGGTGGTCCGCCAAACCGCTCTCGGCTCCCGGATTCCCCGGGAGTCACCAGAACGGGCGGGGCGCTGCGCCTCCGTCACAGATCGGGAGCCAGGGTCACCCGCGTAACGGGCCATCCCCGGCTCTGGGCTCCCACCCAGTGTGCAGGCGGTTCCCCAGCCGCCGGCCCTTCCTTTCCATCGGGGCTCCCCTTACGGGTCGGATTCCGGAGCTAACGCGGTTGGCCAGGGGCCTTCCGTAGCACATCCATTCATTACAATGAACTGCGTGCGCGCTGGCAGGGCGTTCGTGCAGTAACGCGGTAACCGCCCCTTTCACCTCACACCGGGGCGCCGGCTTATCCGCGCGTCGCCCTGCGAGCTGGGTGCTGTTTCCCCTCGGGGTGTGAATGAGAAAACCGAAGCACCGAGGGTAAGGAGCTGACCCTCGCGTGCACACGCGTCCCCACGCGGCGGCAGAGCGAGCTTCGGAACCAGCTCGGCTTGGTACCGGGCTGCTCTGCTTCTGCCCTGCAAGGTTCCATGTCCCTGAGTGTGCTTTTGGGTCCACACTAGACTTCACGCTTTGCCACCGTGGAGCGCAAGAGAAGGAGGGGAGTGTGAGGCTCAGAATCACCCAGGGGTGTCCCAGCCGGCGCGGAGGGCCTGGGGGATGAAAGGGGTTTGAGGACCACTCTTTGGTGGGCGTCTCCCCCTGCGGAGAGCGTTCCAGCCGAGCCCCCAGCGTCGCCGAGTGCGCGCTAGGATGGAAAGGAGAAAAGGGGCCCTAAGCTCCTGGAATCCTGAAGACACCCGGGATGAGAGGGCCGGGCGGTCGAGTTGGGGGGGAGGGTCCCCGCCACCCTCGGTGACCTTTGTGTCCCTGTCCCCAGCATCTCAGGGCCGGAGGAGGCAACCCCCTTCCGCATCCCAGCCCCGGATGTCACAGTCACACTCACAAACACTCCCATACACGTCATTCACATAGACACTCAGACACAATTATGTAAACTGACACACAGTCAGTCACACACTCCCTCACACGCACTCAGGCACAGAGATCAAAGACACACACAGATGCACTTTCACAAGCACACACGCTCACACACGCAATAATGCAAGCTGACACACGCTGCGGACACCGAGACCACAGACACACTCACACCCATCGTGCACATTCACACAGCGAACCTCACCCGGCCACCCACGCGCTGGTTGTGTGTGCACTTAGCAGATCAGGTCTGGGGAGGCGGAGCCTGGGCCACTGGATGGGGACCGCCCGGCCCGCCTCCCGGTCCGCCCGAGCTCTCTGCCCGCTGGCTTCTTCCACTTTGCCCTTCCCTCCTCCCACCCCCAGCCCGGGAAGGGGAGCGGAGCAGCGGGAGACAGTCCGAAGGAGGTCTGGGTGGAGGAGGGCAGGCCTCCTGCTGGGCCGCCCTTGACTCCTGGCGGGGGGTGGGGGGAAGGGCTTCGGGGTGCGGTGCGGTGCGGGGACGGCGGGGGGGGGGGGGGGGGGGGNCGGGGGGGGGGGGGTGGAGTACCAGAATGAGAAGCGCCTGAAGTCACAGCCTGTCCTTGGATGGGCTGACTGATCTGAGAGTTCTCTGACAGCCATCCTGGCTGGGAGTAAGTAGTGTCCCCAACAAGCCCCAACCAGGAAAGGATAATGGCTCCAGGGGGACAAGCTGCCAGAGATTTCCCAAGAGCAGACAGGCCTCCCCGGTTCCACTCCCCCACCCTCAGGGTGGGTGCCCTTCTCCCTAGGGGCCGAGTCCTGCAGACCTCCCTTTCTTTCCAGCATGCAAAGACAAGGTTCATATCAGCAATGGAATGGCACAGCTTGGGTTTCAAATTGGGGGCATCGGGGACTGGTTCCTCTGGAGCCAGAGAAAACCCAGCATTCTTTGAGACAGCAAAAGCAACAAAAACCTATCCTGCACGTATTACAAGATGCACCAGAACCGCACTAACAAATCCAGAAAGATACAGAACAGAAGAATGTGTTTGGGAGAGAATGAAGTGAATTAATACAGAAAGATACAAGATAAGCCTTTAGCACGGTGCCTGGTGTGTACAGGAATTGCTCAGTGTTTGCTCGCACAGACGGGAAACATGCAAAGAGATGGAGTGGCTTGCTCAACGTCACATAATCAGTGGCAGAGGGGAAAGAAAACCTAAAGTGTCCTGATTCCTCGTTCAGGGCTGAAGTATGTTAGGTCGCTTCTGAAATCCAGACAAGGGTATAAAGAAATTAGTGAGGGGCGCCTGGGTGGCTTAGTCGGTTAAGCGTCCGACTTTGGCTCAGGTCATGATCACACCATTTGTGGGTTCGAGCCCCGCGTCAGGCTCTGTGCTGACAGCTAGCTCAGAGCCTGGAGCCTGCTTCAGATTCTGTATCTCCCTCTCTCTCTGACCGTCCCCTGCTCACACTGTCTCTCGCTCTCTCTCTCTCAGAAATAAATTTTAAAAAACATTAAAAAAAATTTTTAAATAAAATAAATTTAAAAAAAAAATTTTTTAATAATGAATAAATAAATTAGTTTCACCACTCTAAGGAAATAGAGAAATAGAGTAAATAGAGAAATTAGACTCCCGCCCTTCTACTTGCTGCGACGTAAAGGATGGAATCCTCTTTATAAGTTCCCAAGGCAGGAACCTAGATGAACTTCCGTTCCCGCCCTTGAGAACCTCGCTCCGCTCAACAGGCTCCGTAAGAGGGAAGCTTATTTGCCCCATGAGTC